AAATTATCCTTAAACCACTAGAACAATATGAGATCGAACCATCACAGACTCAAGAAAAATAGTATTTATATGTACCTAACTTTCATAGCTCAAAATGCATCATTAATATAAAGTAAATATTAAAGGAATCAAAAGAAGATAATTATATCATTAATAAAACATATAGAAGATGAGGAAATCTTTAACCATGAACTAGAAAAGAAAAGAAAATAGTGAAAATAAAGGCTAGAAGACTAGAAAACTGATATTAGTGAAAGAAAATTAAAAATAGTGAAAATAATAACCTTAAAATAATGTGGGATAAGGTTTAAGTGAGAAAATGAAAAGGGAAAAATTTATTAATATGAAGAAAAATAATTAAAAATAGTAAAATTAAGAATAAAAAGATTATGACACCAATATATCTAAAATAAAATTAATAATAATGAAAATATAACCAATATAAGTAAAATGGGAAAATTTCGTACTTTCTCTCAGAACACTCGCATGTTCTTCGCTTCTTGACCGATGACGACCATCACCGACGGAGCCTCAATAGGTACCATCGGTGACAGGTGTATTTGGGCTTCTATTTTGGGTATTAGTCCATATATCAAACTGGATTACTACTGAGTTGTTAGTGGTTCTTCATTAATCCCTAAGGAAGTGATCGACAAAGAGCCGAAGCGGTGTTATATTTGGTAGAGGGAAGCTGGATCACAAAATCATGCTAGATTAGCAAGAGATTTGAGGTTTGGAGATTAGTCACTTATAGTTTGCAAAAACAACAAAATAATCTCTACTTCATGACAGTTCTAAAAATTTACACTAACTAATAACTCTACATCGCTTCATTATATTTAATACTGCAATTTGATATGCAATATTCGAATCAATGATATTTGTGTTGCGATTTTAAAATTATCCTCTATTTATAAGATTAAAAAAATAAAATTAATTATTAAACTCGAACTCAAATAATCAAGATATGAAATCTAAGTATCGAACACCAAAGAATAATTAAGGGGGACTTAGTGGGCTAGCTAACTTAGTGAAAAAGTCCTCTCGTTTTGAGTTTTTTGCACCAGTATGTTTTTAATTTTGAAAAATGAAATAAATTTATTTAGTTTAATTGCTTATTAATTTTTGTCTTTGTTTGAAGAGACCATATCACCATGATTCAAATCTCAACAATGACGTATTTTTTGTAAATAAGAAATAAATAGCTGTAATGACGGATGTACCTTCCTATTTTCACTCTGCAAATCTATAAGATATATGATGGAGATTCATGACTCAACTTTCTTCCATTTCAAATTTTCTGCAACGAGAGTGAAAGTAGGAAGGGTACTTTCGTCATTGCAATTGTTTATTTTTTTATTTGAAAAAAATATCAGTGTCAAGATTTGAACCCGGGTCTCTTCTAACAAGGACAAGAGTCATAACCAATAAGACTAAACAAATTTGTTGCATTTATTTATAATAAAAAACATACAAGAGGCAAAATTCTGAAAATCAAATGACTTTTCCAGCACAGTTAGCTACCCCACTAAGTCTTTCTTAAGCATTTTTAGTGTTGGATCTTTGATTATCATTTATTATTATTTTATTTTGACTTCAATAATAATGGTAGTCTATCTTATAAATGGAGGATAATCTTAAAACCGCAATCCAAATATCATTTATTCGAATATTGCATATCAAATTACAATATTAAATATATATGTGCACACACAACCACATATATATGGGTCAGACTGGTGTACTCCTGGAGTATATTATACTTCAGGTACTCTTCGTGAGATATCTCTATCTAGACCATGATTTTTAACCGAGTTTGGGGTATGATACTCTACCCTAACCTCTAATGGATAAACCCCAGGCCCCGATTCTCTAAACTCAAACCCAAAGTTTAATTTAATGGAAAATTATAATTGACCATTGAGATTGATTGGAGCTCAACAAAGTACATCTAATGTCTAGATCATGTGGAGTATACTATACTCTTGGAGTATACCAGTATACTATACTCCTGTAGTATACCAGTATGTGTGTGTGTAGTGTTTTCTATCATATTTTGAGTAAAATCAAAAGGTAACTCATACCCTTGGTAAGAAATGGCAATCTAGACTTTGAATTAACCTGATTTCGAGACGAGACACTATATTCTAACCCTTGACGAGTGAACTCTGGGTCTTAACTATTTAAATCATAGATCCTAAACCAAGGATTATAAAACCTCATCAGAGGTTGTACCGAAAAAGTCGGCAGGAGGGTATTTTATGCGAAAACTGTGGTTAACCGTGATTCAGTCGTTTCACAACACTACATAGTGCCTACTGGTTTAGTCGAACCCCCGGTACGTTAAGGGTTTTCAATCCTTGCCCTAAACACTAAGATTATGCACATAATTTTTTTGATGTATTTTGATGAAACACGACCTTCGATTATTGTTTCTAATAAAATTGATCTTAGTATATGAGCTTCATAGAATTAAGACCTAGATTTTAATCTGTAAGGGCTTAAGGTATAGTACCATGTCCCTAGCTCCGGCCACTAGACATCATTTTCATACTCAGAGTATATCATTCAAGGTCTATATATCATTTCCTTATGTCATTTTCTTAATCAAAATATGATAGAACCACCCATACTTATAGTTGTGTTATCCTGCTGGAAAGTCATTTGTTCTAAATGTTAGTTGGTTGGACTGCAGTTTTATCAGGGTTGTATGTTGTTTGAAACATTTTGAACTTCATTAGTCAAATATTTTTAGTACTCCTATATTATTTAGGGATAATATCCTATTTTGTGTTGAACTTTGATGTAAATAACAATTTTGGCATGAACATTCAAATAAGATAGTTTTGTCCGAATTTGAAAGAAATTAACAAATTTGACCCGAAATTTGGGTCGGTTATTAATATTGAGGGTCAAACATTTCTTTTTTTTATGACTCAACATACAATGTTAAGGTGACTGTGGTGTGACTTTCACGTCATAGGTATAATATGCTATTTTGCCCTACACTTTCAAATAAGACAGTTTTGTACGAATTTTCAAAGAAATGAATAACTTTGACCCAAAATTTAGGTTGCCGTTAATATTGATGAGAGGGGTACAAAGAGAGATAGTTTCGTGCTTTGGGATTTTTGGGGGCCTGAATCAATTTCTTTTTCCTTTTAATATGATTTATGCAAGTAAATATGAAAATATTAGGATATACTAAGGGTCCTATTTTGTGGTCTTTTTTTCTTCTGAAAAATTCACTTTTTTAGACTTTATAAATAAATGACTTGGAAGCCACATCGCAACCGAAACCTCTCTATCACAACTGTCAATATTAAAGGTCAACCCAAATTTCGGACCAAATTTGTTCATTTCTTTCAAAGTGCAAACAAACCTATCTTATTTGAAAATTCGAGCCAAAATTGTCTTTTACATCAAGTTCATGCCAAAATAAGGTATCATCCCTATGACATGGAAGCCACATCGCAATCGCAACCACCTGAGCATTGTATGTTGAATGGATGAAGAAATTTTTAACTTTTAATATTAACGAACAACATAAATTTCAGTCCAAATTTGTCCATTTCTTTCAAAATTTTGAAAAACTGTCTTATTTGCAAGTTCATGTCAAGTTTGGCTTTTACGACAAACTTCAAGGTCAAAATAAGGTATATCCCTATTATTTATGGTCAACTTACCAATCAAAGTAGTCAGTGAAAGTATCAGCAACACTGACAAAGACAAACATATGTAATTCAAAATTAGTTGCACTCAGCCTTAAGTTTGAAGCTCTTTTGAGAACCCGGACTATTTTCTAGGCATCTTCGGGGACTACGACTAGCATGCTTCCAAACCAGCTGATCCTTATTCTACTTTCTATGAAGAGGAATAATATGGGTGTATCTGTTAGACATTAATTAGGGTTACAAATGATCTCATTCCTAAAATCTGTTAGAGACCAATCTTTTTCTTTCCTTCTGAGGGTTCATTATGTATGTTTTAGGAACAACAACTCTAATCTTGAACTATTTGCCATTTTTAAGTATTGAAAACCTATTATTTTGTATGTTTTTCTTTTCTTCTTTGAACAATTATATTTCTTTTTTCAGTGATATGTCGTATCTTCCTATTATATTGTAAGCATGTTATATGAACATATTTTTTGTCTAGACTTTCCCGGCCAAGGGGCCGGGCCCGGTGCTAGTATTCTGAAATGGAAGAAAATAGATGGTTGAATCCAAATTATACATGCTGTAGATTATCGGTGCAGATTAGTTCGAGCAACAAATCTGTTAAATACCAAAATTTGGTGGGTGTTTTGCCAAATATCCTAAAGTTTGCTGACCATTGCGTTAATTCACCGGAGCAGAAGTCGTAGTAATTAAGCGTCATTGCTCATTTCGCCCAGCGCAGAAAAACAGCGAAAACCCAAATTTTGAATTGAATCCCGTCCCCCTGCCCCGGTAGTCGTCAGTAGGGTTTCTCTCAACTTCGCCATCTCTTCTCACAAAGAGCTCTCTTCCTCCTTCACTCTCTTGTGGTTGTGGTGGCAAAATCTCCGGCGAAACTACAGGTACTCTCTCTCTGTCTCCCCTCCTTCGCTCTCTTGAAGTTCCGATTTGATACGCTTAGTCCTGAGATGGCGATGAATCAGCTAACCGAGAAAATTCTGCGTACGGAGATTTTTTTTTCTTCGGTTCAAAGCGCCTAGTCGTGAATTCTTAGGTTGGTTGAAATTAACGTGGAAGCAGAGCGAAATTGGGCGATACGGAGTTTGCTTGGCTCCGTGGGCTAATCCGATTCTGAAATGGTGGTTAGCCAAGTAGTGAAACTTTTTTTTAGAACCCGTAGGCTTCGTAACGCTGGAATTTTCCATCCTGTTTTTCCCAGTTGGTTAAGTGGCGTTTGTGAGTACGGAGCAGGCTCTTGCAATAAGTCTGGTTGTAATTTGAGTTATTTATTGATCATGGAGTGCTGGTTGTTTGATTGTTGGTTTTTTTTTCCGGGCAGGAATCAAAGAGTTCTTGAATCATTACAGGATGAGCAGTCTTGTGCATAACAAAACTCCCAGGTCCTCGGGGAGGCAGTCATTGTTTTTCAAAGATTTGGCATCTCCAATCTCTGCTCACAAAGGCAAGTTCTCAAGTCCTGGACAGCAAGCTGCAGTTTCTGCATTATGGCGCGAGAATTTTGGGGCTTCGGATCTTCCACCTCCTCCCATGTTCACCTTGGAGGATCGTTCGGATTTCTCTCCTGAGTTTGGTATTCCAGATTACCCTTTATCTCCAGAAGCCAAATCAGACCCTAGGACTCCATCTCAAAGTTTTGGGAGGGAACTGATGACCCCAGCAAAAGGAAAATCAGAGGCTAGCACTTCATTTGCTTTGATGAGTGGACAGAAAGCTCAACAGGGTTCTGGAAGTTCAACTTGGTGGTCGCCGGCAAAGGTTGCAAGCAGTGATCATGAAGATAAGGGAAAGAATTCTCCAGTTGAAGGTGTGGTTCAAAGTAATGCCTTGATTACCCTTCCTCCACCCAGGGAAGTTGCAAGGCCAGAAATTCAGAGGAACCACCTTCCTACTGGAAACATGGACGAGGAAGAATGGGTTACTGTTTATGGGTATGGTTCTACCTCTCCTTTCATAATCTGTATGTATGTATTGAGCTTTCTGGTTTTCATGATTGTTTCCTTGCATTTTAGGATCCATCAAACTTTTTTGCTAGCATCTAGCTACTTCAGTTTCCTTGATGTAGATAGCTAGATGATTGTAGATGTTATGCTCGGTAGAATGCATATCCATGCTATTTGTTTTGGTGAAACGTGAATCGAATGTCTTGTGTTTTGTGGTTGTTCACGTCAGGATGGTTGATGCAAATTGCAATACTCATTTCGGTTCACAGAGCTGTTTCTTTTTACCTTGGTTCCTTGAATGATGTTTTGAGGCATGGTAAAAACTGGCATGGTTGGTGTCTGTGGCAGTATATCGATTGGAGATACTCTGTTATGATGGACGGTGGCTCTTTATAAGGCAGTTTTCATACAGCTTTTTTATCTCTCTTACTGCCCATGTTCTCAGGATACTGAAAATGCACATGCAGATTCTGGTTCCTGATCTCCAGCTATAAGAATGCTTCATTAAAAAAAAAATTCCCCGTCGAATTGTTTCATTTAATCTGCTCTATGGAAATCAAATGCTTCAATCCAAGGGTTTTCCAGTATGGATCATCAGATAAACAATCATTAAGAATTGTCTGTTACATTTATTATCTCTTCTTAAGAGTTGCCTTCATTTAACTGTCTTACTGTGTTTCACTTGAATTACATTTCAGATTTCCTCCTGGTGAGACAAACTTGGTGTTGCGGGAGTTTGAGAAATGTGGTGTCATATTGAAGCATGTTCCTGGTCCGGGGAATGCCAACTGGATGCACATTCTTTATCAGGTTTGTCTTACACTAATAATTTTTCCATTTCAATTGATTTTGGTGTTGCTTATATTAACTGATGGTTCCATCCTCGTGTGATCTTCATCTATAAGATGTTTTTCTTCTTGCCTTGTGCAATTAGTGTCCTTTCTCATACTCATGAATCCAGTAGTACTAAGTCCCGATGCTTGATTGAGGGGTGACGCATGATAAGACGTAGAACAGACAGATATGGTGCTTACTTGTGTTGCCGTGTCTTTCTGTTGGTGCAGAGCCGGTCTGATGCACATAAAGCTTTAAGCAAGAATGGGATGCAGATCAATGGTGTACTAATCATCGGTGTGAAGCCGGTGGATCCAATACAACGCGAAGCTTTGAGTGAAAGACTTAACAACAATCAGGGATTCATGACCATACCCCCAGCACCGACATCCAGTAGAACAACCGAGTTCAATGCATTGAGGCCATCTTCCCGTCCGTACTATCTGCAGAACGGCAGCACAAGTGCTCGACAAACAGGAGGTACCATTGCTTCCCCAAACAAGTCGCTGGTCTCCAAAGTTTTTGATGTAATGTTTGGCATTTAAAGCTTCCGATGACGTTGTTGTATTTGGTTGTGTTACTTGTGACTTGTGAGCTATATTCGGTCACTTGGGATCGTAGTAGTAGCTTTGTTGTTCTTTTTGAATTCTGGTTGTTTGTGCACGGGTCAGCGGGATGATTTATTCTAACGGTGAGAATGTGGCATGAGATTGATTGGGTGCATTCTTGATTTTTGAATTCTGGTGGGGCCCTTTGCCTCTGGAATTTGTAAGAAACGTATCCCTGTAAATCATGAGATGTTTCGAAGGGCTATCCGTATATTTGCCAAATTCTGTTCAAATTGTAATGGTAATTTTGACCTTGGACTATGGCAATGTAATCGAGCACTTTTGTCTATTAATTTGTGCTAAATCTGGACCTTCGTATTAAAGTAGGTCCGGAAAATTCATATCTAAATGTTGTAAATTAAAAATATTTTTAATTTTTTTTAATCGGCTTTTATTTTATTTGTTCTAACTTGGATTTCAATTTTTTTTTGCACTGATGTAACGAGTTTGTGGTGCTCTACGAAAATGAGATCAATTTTCAATATTTTTGAGAAATTCTTTTTCGTACCTCTCGTTACTACCAACTCCATAGCATATGGTATCTCCTTCGTTTTTAAGTCGTTTTTTAAAGTATTTGCACAGAAAGAACTAGTTCATCATATGATCTATTGGATCTATAAATTTGTGGACAAAAAAAAAATATAGGACAAAAAAATACCATACTATACCACCCTGGTATGTGGACTGGTAACTTGTGGTACACAATGATGAAAGTCATAAATGACAGTTAGTATACTCCTACTATTATGTATTCAATCATTCTACAGTTTTGGTATGTTCATACCACCATGATACGCTTTTATATCATATGTTATGCTCTTATTTAATACCAATCATTATCATATGGTATAGACTCGTAAAAAATGTCTCAAAGTGGATATCATTTTAAAAAGCACAATTAATATGATTTATCTGTGAAAAAAAAATTGCTTGTAGGATTTTCAAAAATGAAGGATTTGGATAGAACCCTGGATGTTATAATTGATGGATTATGTGGGATTTTATCATATTGGATTTATATTGGATTTTAAAAAATGCTTGTTTACTTGTTGGATTTTATATATAGGATTTGTGTACTTAAGATTTATTAGTTAAAAGTTTAATTTACAATTTAAGTCTTAATGATTTGTTTTGGCTTTTTATGGGCAATTTTTGATGTTGTATTAAATGACCATTCCTTCTCCCTTTTGTACCATTCATTTCGGCCCTCATCGTAGAACACCACCCTCTAGCATATACAGATGTATATAAACATAATGAATATAAGGGAAAAGAAGTAAAACAAAAACATCTTAGAAGTATTGCTCTAGTGGAGAAAGAAAAAATGATACACACTAACCTAAAGGCAAGTGGCTTAATGTCGGAAAAGAAAGCGAAATGCGTCAGGTTGTCGCTTCACAATAAAAAATTAACAAGACTTAACAATAGATAATGATGGCAATATAGGAAATTATGAATACTAAAAAGAGACGAGGTTAGTTTTGTCATTTACTCCAAGGGATTTTTAGCCTACCGCAAAATTCCATCTAAATGAGTGAGATTTTATAATCCGTAGACCCCACGAATTTTAGTCCCAAAATAATCCAATATGCATGGGTCTCACAAGTCATAATCAAACACCACTTTAGCATCAAATATGGAATTTGAGCATAATGCCATGGATGTGGGATTTTGGACCAAAATCCTTGATCAAAATCTCAAAAACAAACAACTCCTTAAAATTCCAAAAATAGGGTTGAGAAAAACAAAAAAATTGACGCATTTCACAAACCAAAAAGAAAAAATGACATTGTATGACCTCCAACCCAGTAACCTTGCACCAGGGTCAAAATGAGTCAACTGCTTGATCGCCCCACGCGTTGACAACCTTGCTTCTCACTAGGAGTGGCAACTGATAAACGTGAACCGAACCAAAACCAAATTAAACCGAACCAAAACCGAAATAATATTATTCGGTTCGAAATTCGGAAGAAAAATGTGGATATTTCGGAAACCAGAATTCTTTCAACAGAACCAAAATTCCGAATGCCCGACCCAAAAACCGAATTACTACAATTGCAAGCTCTAAATGGTGGATTTTTATGTTTGTACTTGTTTTGAGACTTAAATATTTGAATTCTGTTAGTGTTTTATGACTTTATGTGTTGAAATGTTTAACCGACCGTATCAGTATACGGCAGACGAAACCCAGCTGTCGGTTTACCGACCCATACCCGGTAAGTAACCGCCGGTTACTCGGTATAACCGAGTATACCGATATTGGCAAAAAAAACTCCCCCGTCGATCAGTTCACTCCTCTTCCTCTACCTTGTTCGCTCCACTCTCTCCATCGGCCCTCAAAAAAATTCTCTCTTTCCTCCACAAACAGAACCTTCACCATGAGAGATTCTATGAAATCCCCTCACCTCTTTCTCGATTTGTTGATCCGGACCATGGCGTCGCCGATCCATCGTCAAAGGGATGCGCCGTCCCCGGAGAGAGGATGGAGCGATGGATTTGCTGCAGGGAGAGGAAGAAGTATGGTATACGGCAGGAAGTCCGCCGGCTATTCGGTTACCGGGTTGGTAACCGTTAATCGGTTAGTCGGTAATCGATTAACTGGTTTTCATCCGGTTTCGATTGTCGGCAGTCATTAGAAAGGTTTCGATAATACCGATAACCGGCTAACCGATTACCGATTAACCGGTAACCGACCGATTACCAGGCTTAGAAATGGACACCCCTCCTTTTTCGTCAACATAGTGACCGAACTGATATGGAAACGCTGCGTTTTCCTAGTAGTTCTTGTTTACAGCGTCGACCGCATCTTTCCACTGTCAGTTTTCAACTAAAATCTTCACTTCACGTACCGGCTACAACGATATGGAAAACTGAAAGGCGAAAACACAACGAACTTGATTGAAAGCACTAGAAGCAAAATTTCCGATTCAATAGCCAGAGGAAGGAATACTCGTGTTTACGCCCATTATCAGCATAGCGATTTCAAAATGTAAGTTTCCTCCCATAATTGGTTTCAGCTTCTCCTTCCTTCGTCGTTTTCTATTATCTCTCAATGGCGTGCCATTTCCCTTTCTCCTCTTCTCCATACTTCAAAACCCACAAATTCCCAGCAAGCCCCCGCCTTTACCCTTACATTTCATGCCGGACTCAATACCCAGATGCTGAGATTGATGATAAACACAAGAATTGTAGTAAACCCAATTCTACGCATTCGAATTTTCTCGCTATCCCTATCACTCTCACTGTAATCTCCACCTCTCTCGCTACAAAACCGGCCCTTGCTGCTGCAGCAACGGCGCGGAAGACTGGTCAGAAAAGAAAAGCCCAGAAAAAATCACCGGAAGCGTTGAGCCCTGACCAGCTGAAGCAATGGACTAAGAATTTACCTCTTGTGTCGAGTCGAATACCGTATACTGAAATTCTGAGTTACAAAGAACAAGACAAGCTTAAGCATGTAATTAAGCCGCCCAGTGCGCGGATGAAGGAGCGGGCCGAGGCTGTTCTGGTTGTTTTGGATGACAATCAAGTGTTTAGAACTGTATTGCCTTCCATTGAGAGCAACAAGAGATTTTGGGGTGCTTGGGATGAGTTTAAGATTGATAATTTATGTGTGAATGCTTACACACCTCCTGTTAAGAAACCAGAACTTCCTAAGCCCTATCTGGGCTTCTTGTGGAAAGTTCCTGAGTTCATATTGACCAGATTTGAGCCTAAGAAGGAGTCGAAAAGAGCTATGGAAATTAGGAAGATGAAGGAGGAGTTCAAGATGCAACAGAAAGAAGAACTGGCGAGAATGAGAGAGGAAAGGGAAATGATGGAGAGAGCAATAAAAGTTCAACAGAAAGAAGAGAGGAGGAGGAGGAAGAGGGATGCCCAGAAGAGGAAGTACCATCAATCATTGCGTGATGCCCGGGCAAATTATACCAGAATGGCAAATGTTTGGGCAGATTTAGCACAGGACTCAAATGTTGCAACATTGTTGGGATTGGTGTTTTTCGTGATATTTTATAATACAGTAGTGCTTAGTTACAGGAAGCAGAAGAAAGACTATGAGGATAGGTTGAAGATTGAGCAGGCAGAGGCAGAGGAGAGGAAGAAGATGAGAGAGTTGGAGCGGGAAATGATGGGCATTGAGGAAGAGGAGGACGAGGAAGGTGGTGAGCCAGGGAAAGCAGAAGAGAATGCTTACATGAAGATGGCTAAGCAGTTTATGAGGTCTGGGGCACGGGTTAGACGGGCACATAATAAGAGGTTGCCTCAGTATTTGGAAAGGGGCGTGGACGTGAAGTTTTCGGATGTTGCAGGGCTTGGCAAGATAAGGCTTGAGCTTGAGGAGATTGTGAAGTTTTTTACACATGGCGAGATGTATCGGAGGAGAGGAGTCAAGATTCCAGGTCAGTTTGTGGTACTTGATAAGTGATACACTGTTGCTTATTGCCGAAATATGAACTTCTGACTAGAAATTTTTGTTGATGAAATTCCTGAGATGTATATCCTGCAATTTCCCCCCTATTTGATGTCCTGATTATTTGAGCATTTTATTTGGAAACCGGTTCCATATTTCCCTAATGAATTAGGAAGTGCACTTTGTCCTTCTTCTGAAGGAGCTAACTGATTCATGCACAATTAACAAAACTCTCTCCCTCTGAATTTTCTAGAGATAAAATGAAAATAGAGTAAATGGTGGCACTTAGAACTCTTAACACAAAGAACTATCAACCTCGCTTAACCAGATTCTTAAAGTTAGGTGTAAAAGCACGAAATTAGTGGTATTATTGCATCTTAAGTTGCGAGTACTTCATGTGCCTTCTGAGTCGCTAGTTCTTTGCACATGGCCATTGCATGTATTTTACATTTTTACTGGTGAAAGCATATATAATCAATGGGGTACTCGAATTTGTAGTACCAGATTGAGCTTTGGCATTAACTGTTGTATGGCGTCAGTTTGTTTTTCACTTGTATGTTCTGGGATTATGCAGCTTGTTTTTCCGTATCTTTTAAGTGATTGATTTCAGATAGTGATATAAACCGGAAATGGGAAGGAAATTTACTGATTGACGAGGAGAATTAGTGATTGCTAATGAATAATAACTGCGTTTCTATCAGATAGGGTTAGGGTTCTCTTTTGTTAACCATATATGAAGATGAGTATTTTTATTGTTTCCTGTCCTTTATTGAGTCTATCTATGTATGTACTTACCCACAGCTGCTTGCTAGCACACGAGTTTCAGCTTATATTTGGTATTTGATTAGGTGGAATCCTTCTTTGTGGGCCCCCTGGTGTTGGGAAGACCTTGCTAGCTAAAGCTGTGGCTGGCGAGGCAGGCGTCAATTTCTTCTCCATTTCTGCCTCTCAATTTGTGGAAATATATGTTGGGGTTGGCGCTTCTCGTGTTCGATCACTTTACCAAGAAGCAAGGGAAAATGTAAGAAACTTTAAACTTAGCTGCTGATTATATTTGTTTTCTTGAAGCAGCACTGAAATGTGCTTATTAATGTAAATTATTGCATGTTCAAGCACTTATTTTATGTGGTCTTCAGCTTCTTATTTTCCAGTGATTGTATTGTGTATCTAGGCTCCATCTGTGGTCTTCATTGATGAACTGGATGCTGTTGGAAGAGAACGTGGTCTGATTAAAGGTTCTGGTGGACAAGAACGTGATGCTACTCTGAACCAGGTCTGTTGGTTCTCATGATTTGCTCTTGTATCTCCTTACTTTCTATAGTTAAACATTCATTTGGTGAACTTATAATAACTATTTAACCTCCAGCTCCTAGTATGCCTGGATGGATTTGAAGGGCGAGGTGAAGTGATCACCATTGCCTCCACAAATAGACCAGATATTCTAGATCCAGCACTTGTGCGCCCTGGTCGGTTTGACAGGAAAATCTACATCCCTAAACCTGGTCTCATAGGTCGCATGGAAATCCTGAAGGTAGTTATTTAAGTACTAGTTCTTGAGGTTAAGACACATGATAATGCCGCCATGCCCACTGGTATCTGTATGACAGATCTTTTTGTTACTAGGTTCATGCTCGCAAGAAGCCTATGACTGAGGATGTGGACTACATGGCTGTAGCCAGTATGACTGATGGAATGGTCGGTGCAGAGCTTGCAAACATAATTGAAGTTGCGGCCATTAACATGATGCGTGATGGCAGAACTGAGGTGCGTGTTATTTATATGTCATTGAGATTTCTATTCTCTTCCTGATATTTACTCTATGTTAAGATATTGCTCATCTGTGATATGTTCTGGAGATGTGGCCTGATAGAAGGATTTCTGTAAAGGATCACCTCCATTTGCATCCAAATATTAGATAAACTTGTTGGAAATAAAAGTTCATATGCCGTCATTGGCAATATTGCTTGGATTAGATAATGCTATTATTGTTTTCAACTTCTTTTGCCACTTCTTGTGCCATTTTTTCTTTTACTATCACTTCTGATGACTTGATACCCAAGTTTTCCTCTTTGGGTGTTCAACATGCTGTTGTCCAATTTTATTGGTCAAGTATATTTCAAGGGGGGTCTGTATACAAGCAGACAGGTTGGTGTGATGGTGTAATATTTTTCCTTGTTACCCTTGCGCTTATCAATCTGCTTTTGAAGAATTTTCTTGCAAGTGCAGATTACCACTGATGACTTGTTACAAGCTGCACAAATAGAAGAGAGAGGAATGCTCGATAGAAAAGACAGAAGCACTGAGACTTGGAAGCAAGTAGCTATCAATGAAGCTGCCATGGCTGTTGTGGCCGTGAACTTTCCAGATCTCAGGAATATCGAATTTGTATGTCCTTGAAATTATCTCATTTTTCCTTTGAGGTAGTTCTTTGTCGTTACTTCTCTTTCTAGATCATTGTTAGTAACTAAGAATGTTTTGATCATATGTTATGAAGTCCAATTCTTTTTTAATTATGCTTATACAAGGTCTAACAAGGTGTTGTATCATTGCTCCCCAAATCATTGTTGTAAACTTGTAATTACACTCATGATCATTGCTCTGTGTTACCACTTGGAGCAGGTGACAATATCTCCTCGAGCTGGTAGAGAACTTGGTTACGTTCGGCTGAAAATGGATCATCTCAAATTTAGAGAAGGGATGCTCAGGTGAATATATTTCTACAAACTGGTTTCAGATATCTTTTACTAATTACCATCCAGTCAGGCTAGAGAGATGTGTTAGTATAGCGTGACAAGCATAGGAGATTATGTGAAGGAATGAATTCTATTTTTAGTTAGTCATTAGAATGTAATTTTGATGGATTCCGCCATGGTTTCCAATGCAGTCGCCAATCCCTACTGGATCATATCACTGTGCAATTAGCACCACGAGCAGCTGATGAGTTATGGTATGGCGAGGGTCAGGTAAAATCATTTGTTACCCATGTTTTGCTTTCATTGATGGTTTGGTGCCTTTGAATAGTATTATTGACATCTTTTCATCATAGGGAATTTTATCAATGTAGCTGATGATAAGAACCCGTTTTTATTTCCTGTAAAGATGGTGTCAGGAATCACACACAAAATGGTCTACATTTCTGAACTTCTCTATGAGAATATCTTACTGAGGACTTCTTAGTGCTTATTTAGAATAGATAACAATCTGGGCTGTTGAATACAGTTCTCATTCTGATATCTGATAATGATGAGTTAATATAGTGTGGTGCATGTGGTTATCATTGTCAACAATGAAATGCCTAAAGTTGCATTGAATCATTTCCAGTTGAGTACGATATGGGCCGAAACAGCAGACAATGCAAGGTCAGCAGCAAGAACCTATGTTCTTGGGGGGCTTTCAGAGAAGCATTATGGGGTATCCGACTTCTGGGTTGCAGACCGGATAAATGTATGCATATGCACACTTGTCTCTACTCCTCACCAGCTCTGCGATTTTTGATGCATGTTGTGATTGTGGATCTGTTAAAATTGCAGGAAATAGATTTAGAGGCCTTGCGGATATTGAACATGTGCTACGATCGTGCAAAAGAGGTAATTAATTTCTCAGCAAGCAAAAACACCTGCAAATTGTCCCAGCTACCTGGTAACAAATCTTCTGTGGTTCTCTTTCATTCTGCATCATCAGATCCTGAACGAGAACCGAAAGCTGATGGATGCAATCGTGGATCAACTTGTCAACAAGAAAAGCTTGTCAAAGCAAGAGTTCGCCAACCTACTTGAGTTGCATGGCTCCGTCAGACCTTTGCCACCAAGCATACTTGACCTTAGAGCTGTCAAGCGTGCCGAGTTCCAAAGACTCTTGATGAGCCAGAACAGAACACAAGTAGACATCAACGTCTGAGACCGGTCCCCATCCAATACGAATGCTCGACCCCTTAACCAAAGACAGTATAGTCTTTACTAACTGATGCAAATGTAACTGCTACAGTCAAATGAGCATTAGGATACCTTTCTAGGCTCTGTTCGGTTCATATGAATTCATCATTTCCCATTTTACCGATGTAGCTTAACTTGCAAACCCTTTTTGGCCCCTTTATTCTCTGTAAAAGCGAACAGATAGAATTCCCAGAACCAACTTACACAAATTAATCCACTCTCAGCTTAACTTGAAACTTGAATCTCGTTGTCCGTGTTAGCAATTACCTTAAACTACAGGTTGTTTTCCAGAAAGTTGGAGCCGTCACATATTCTGAGCTAAAGCAGAGCATTAGTCACTGGTATTAACCCACGACTACGAATAAAAGAAGCAAGTGCGGTTATTGACTCGTACGTTTGTTTGAAAAAGTCAGCCTCGTTCATTTTACTTGTGAAAGAAACTAACACACGTTCTCTCTCAAAAACAAACCATAACTTCCATTTTAACCGCCAAAATCCCACCCCGGCTCCCTGCCTTCCCTCCAAAGAAGCCACGTTCTCTCTCTGAGTCTGAACCACAACTGCTATTCTCCCACAGTATAAAACCCCAACTCCATCAACCCAATTACCATTTTTCCTCCCTCGTCAAAAAGCTTCCAACTTTCTCAGAGATCAACCCCCAAAGTTCTCAGCTCTTTCGTCAACACACAAATGAAGAACCAAGCATTGTCTCACTGCTTCATCGTCCTGGCAGCAGCAGCCATGGTGATGATCAGCCACTCAGCAGCAAGGGTGTTCAAGGTTGGTGATGATTTCGGGTGGCAAGAACCAACCAACAACTCTCAGCTCTACACTCAGTGGGCCACCACCAACAGATTCCAAGTTGGAGATTCCCTCTGTAAGTTTTGCGTAGCTACAAAAACTCTGTTCATTCTTCCAGTTTCCCTTTCTATCCTTGTGATTCTGTTTGCGCCTTTCTACGAAGTGTTCGAGTACAAGAACGACGAATCAGTAGCACAAGTGGACAAATGGGGGTACTACCACTGCAACACGAGCACAGCAACAGCGGTTTTCGACAACGGGAGGAGCAGTTTCGAGCTGGAGCAGCCGGGGCCTTTCTACTTCATTAGTGGAAACTTCAACCACTGCAACAATGGGCAGTTACTTGTTGTTGAAGTAATGTCGATGCACCATCCGCATCATCCATCCATTTCGCCTCAGCCTGCCTATGCTTATCCACCAAAACCAGAAGGACCTTCTTCTTCTTCTTCCATGGTGCCATCATCATCTGAATCTCATCAGCCGAATTCTGCAGTGATGGTGTCGGTTATCGTCAGTTCTGTCACTGTTGTTCTCATTGCCACATTTGTTGCCCTGTTTTCCTGTGCACCATGAAACCACCAGAATTTCTCTTGTTGGGAATTCTCTCTGTAATTTGGTTTTTGTTTGGTTTTCTATAGTGTCAGTCGGATTCTAGTTGTTGATTGTTATTTATTGTTTGGCTCATGTTATAGTTTATTTAGGAGTTTGAGATTCTTGGAGGAGAACACTAGAGTTGTTTTTGTTCAATCAATATTTAGTTTTCCTCTTGTTGCTGGTCTATCTCCTTTCTGCGACAAATAATAGAAATATTCTCCAAATCATTATCAAATTTTGTTGTATAAAAATCCATTTAAACTCTGAAAACCTACCAATTGTCACTTTTTCCACTTCTAGAAGGATTTTAACATAGTGGGAGCCCAAAAAAACAGGGGAATTTCCTCCAAAGCATTCATGGAGAATTGGAGATGCATCCTACATCGTTCCATAGCCTCGCCACTGATTGGTGAAACCGTGTTCCGGCTGGCTGCAATGTTTAACAGACACAACATTCAAGTTCCTCGCTGCTGCTTTCAGCCTGTTTCACTGGCCTGGCCAGTTTGGGAACACATTTGTACACGTTAGAATCTCTGGTGGAAGAGACACACTTTTGGGGTAGAAAAGTCCGGCCAGACATACTTTGTGCTTCTTCTTGTACATGGTGACTGAACCTAAAACTCCTCTCCTTTGGTTTGCAGCGAGCAGGATTCATCATCAATGAAACAAGAGTGAAGATTAACCAACAGAATGCCAGAGGACTAACAACACTTGACATGCATGGTAGTAAACAAAGCCGAAAAGAGTGTAGAGCTCAGCAGGCCTGAGAGAAGTGTTGGCAAGATCTTGCCCCGGAGATGCATTGGAGTACGAATATGGCCGAATCATAGCCCATAACTAGACTATTACTCAGTTGAGATCGATGGTAGGGAGAACAACAGTGTTCAGGATTTTCCAGATAAGCAACAACATTGCCCTGTTCACATCTCTGGGGATCGTCGTGGTTCTGATCACTGATGAAGCTTCTCAGATTCGCCGACAAGGTGTTGTGGCTGCACTGTTGCAGTGTCCTTCATGGCTGTAGCTTGCGATGCAGGGACGTGCGTGATTATGCCACATGGACGAGAGGGGAGCTGGGAATTTGAAGCTTCTGTGGCCACTTGTGGTGCTGGTTTGGGGACTGATTACCTTTGGCTTGAAGTCGTTTTGGTGAAGCATTGGTTGAGGAAGACAAGGTGGACCGAAGAAGAAGAAAAGAGAAGAGAAGGGGAGTGTAATGAAAGGGTGATATAATAAGGAGTCTATCTTCCAAGTATGATGTCCACAGTTTTCTGCTTCTGGTTAACATGCACATTGATTGTTCAGCTCGTTGCGCAATATTAAAAGGTGTTGCTTGCTTCGGTTCGTGTTACTTTATGAGCATTTATGAGTCTACTCAATCGGGGCGGGAAGCATGCGATTGAACATTAAACAACACCCTTCATTCTGCGAATATTGTTGAATGTGCTTCACATAAAAACTTGACAAGGGAACCCAGAGTCATTTGCAAAACATATTCTCATTTCACTTGCCAATACAGTGATACATAGTGTGCAGCCTGACTAGTTTCCCAAGAAAAATTGACATACTAATCTGTGTGACTACACAAAATAAGAGCATCTGGCAATCTCTGCCGAACGTTTAATGGAGCAAATCCGACCCTTAGATTCTTCTATTGCCGCACAAGGTATGTCAATTCCATGCACCAGATACGTTTCATCTGCAAAATTGTATCCACAAAGACGGATTTTCAACAAACATCAATTACAAGTTAATTGAGTTCTGCAGTTCATCAGACAACAGAAGAGAAGTGTGTACCATGCGATCAAAGACTAATGGTTTCCTTCCGGAGCTGGGGGATTAACATTGTTGTAACTATCGAAACCCCCACTTGAGGGTGCTTGGGTATGCGGCTGATAATTAGGAGGTGGAGCCAATGATGGTGGTGGACCTTGAGCAGTTGGCATGGGCATGGTGCTCCCAGGAACACTTGCTGGAACCATACCTGGAGGAGGCGGCCTTGGTGCACCATTTACTTGACCGGGTAAGGAAGGAGCACCAGGTGGTGCCATCATTGGAGGCATTCCTGGAACAGACATGTAACCTATCCAACACCACAAGGAAAAATGTTCAGTGTCGTAAACTTCAATTTGCCGCATGATACATCATCAAATAAAAGCAACACATATTTAGAAATTCCGTTGAGGACACATAGCAAAAAACAGAGGCCAGATAGCCCCTAAATCAGTCTGAGAATTTCACCAACCAATAGCTGAAGCTATGAAAAAGGGTCTACCAGATACCAGTACAAGAATGTTTGTCATATTCACAGACCACTAGAGCTCATTCCTGATCGAATAATATCATGTCATAATCACATTCTATTAACATCGGCAACCAAATCTCCTGTCGATAAATTTATGGTCTGATCAGACAATAATTGGAGAAAGCTAACTGTGAAAGCGTAACAATGACGAGACGACTAGAAACTTGGCAAGTACATAGAGATATATACTTCACCAAGTCATACCAAGCAACAATAAGAAGTAAATCGTCATATTGGACAAACTCAGACATATGCGGGAGAGTGATGGAGAGAGTTCATGGCAATCTATTCAAACCATGCGAATTTCACTTAAAAATCAGGAAAATGTAATCAGGGACAGGAGGTACCATAAGCGCTCCATAACAAAGTTTCGGAGCTTCTTACCTGGAGCACCAGGCGGTGGCATGCCAGGTCTAGGCAAAAGTGGAGGCCTCATTCCGGGCATTAGCTGTGCACCAGGAGGTAGGTTTGGGTTCCCAGGAATGGGCATAATAGGCGTCGGCAAAATGGGAAGACGAGGCCTTTGAGCCATGAGATGCTGATTGTATGCACCACCTACCTGTTGGAATGCTGCAGTTTGCCCAAGATGTTCCTTAATCCGCTGGTCAATTAAACTCTGGGTTTGCTGCTCCTCAAACTGCTGGTAGTAGATTCTAACATTCGCCTATTTGGGAACCCAAGGGTCAAAGCCAAAACTAATTAGTACTACAGAATTGCTATCGAAAAGCCAATTCAGGGATAACACAAACACAGAACACCAGAAGTACCTTGTGCTTGTAACCCGCATTGTGCTGCTTTCTAACAGAAGGCTGAAACAAAAAAAAAAACAAAAAAAAAAAGGCAGGACATTCAATCATTCTCAAGATTCAAAACCCTAAACCTAAGCAGCTATCGTAGAGAAGCAGAGGAAGAAGAGACTTACAGAATCGTGCGTCAAATAAGTATCGCAGTAGTCACAGTAATACCTGAAGGAAACAACAAATCAAAACAAAGTTAAAAGAGCCAGAATGAATCATGGTAAGAAACGAAGAAAAAAAGGTGGAAGGAAGGAGAGGAGATCTTACCGAGGCATCGTTCCGTTCCAGCTCGATCTGGATTCCGAAACCTCAGAGTTCGGTCGGCACCGGAGAATCAAACAGGAAAAGCCTAGGCCGTACGGTGGCGCCGGCAGCGGAAGTCCAGGACGGTGATGTCAAAATGCGGTTCCAACGACGAGTAGGAGTAACGGAAGCTGGAGGGGGCAGCTAAAGTCGACTGCTGAAAAATCGAGAACCAAAAATGTCACTTGATTAATTGATTCTACATTTTCTATTCAAAAATTAATTTAGTATCAAAGTCTTAAAAAGGATTTCAACTAAACAAAATTCATAGAATATATTACTTTAAAAAATAATTCAATTATTAGAAAAAATAATAATAATTAAAAATATTTACAATGATTGTTGATTCTAAATTTTCTATTCAAAAATTAGTTTGGTATCAAGTCTTCAAAAGAGGATACCAACTAAATAATAAAAATTGATGTTTTTCATAAGTCAAAATGATTTTTTACAATAAGAAAAGTAGAAAGATCAATTAAGAAATTTAGAAAACAAAATATTCCAAGAATATTCTGTTAACTTTAACCGAATGCACATAACATTAAACTTAAGTGGTACCGGGTGCACAAATAATAGAATTCAGTAGTACCCGACGCCCTATTCAAACTTAAGTGGGATGTCTCCCCCAATTCTCAAACTTAAATGGTACCCAAGATATTTTATCCATTATTTTTTGGCAAAATACATATTTATAGTCAGAAGATATATACAAAATAAAATGGTCAATTAAATTTTGTCCAATTTTTCAACAGTGTTATCTAAAATGCTGATTGGACTAACTTTTTTTTATTCATGTGAGACTTTTTTCATTAACTTGCTTGCCTAGGTTTTGTTCTTTTATTCTAATTAAATTAAAGAAAAATCATAAAAAAATGTTATGATCAAATGCCCTTCATCTCTCCTCGGTCTTCCTTTTCCTCCACTTTCCCAAATTTATCAAAATGCAGTTTCACCGTTGCACCCATTACCCATTTGTCGGCAAATTCTACACGGGGAAACAGAGAGCCAAAGTTCAATTTTGTAATCGTTTCTCTTCCATTCCCAGCCCCGTCCTTGATTTGGTCTCGATCCTCTTCATCCAGATTCTCCTCCTCCTCACTCTCTGATCGGCCCCTTCCACTTTCACGGCTTCCACTGCTGCCTCCTTTCATCTCTTGATAACACCTAAAATAGGCATTATTTAGCCCTTATTCTTAAGGCATTTGCATGCTAAATCACCGTATCTCGGCCACATATCAAGTTATTCATGACTATTTTCGTTCCTATTTGCAAAACATGCATTTTGGCATAGGTATTTTTTATATGAAAATTTTCATGGGAGAATCGACCTACTTTGTCGTGCTTTATGTTTTTTCTTGTGCTTGTGATGAAATTCCAGGTCTTATATGCATTTGGGATTGAGAGGGAATCAATTGGAGTTCATCCGAGCATGATTGGGAAGCGTAAGAGCAAGAAGGGGAGAAAAAGCACAGGTCACGACCATAACCAGGCCGTGACCATGTTCGCGGCCCTAAAGATCACGGTCGTGAACAATGGCCGCGAACCTCAGCAGGCGACCAAGAAGAAGCAGAAAGTTTCGACACCCGGATCGCGGACATGGTGTGTTTTGGCCGCAAAAAAGATCGCACCTGGGACACATAGATGGCGGCCGTGATCGCATGAAAGAGGTCGCGATCTTGGAACTTGAAGACGAGACAAAATGCGTCGTTTCGGGCGATTCGAAGACGTTCCAGCTGGTCACGGTCGTGACCATCGATTCACGCCCTCAAGATCGTGCCCACCGCCTGCAGGCTGCAGCCTATAAATGCTCCCTTTATAGCACTTGACAAAGGAGAGCCGCCCTAGAGTGAGAAAGTTAGGTTTTTTTAAGTATTTTACAGAGGGAAACACATTGGGAGAGTTTCATTGAAGATCCAATCCCCCCCCAAGGAGCAAGAAGAAGATGCAAGCAAGGAGTGTTTAAAATTGTGTTTCTCGTGATTAATAATTTTAGTCACGGGAAAATTATCATAATATAAAACTCTGTGACTAATTGTGTACCGTGATTAGTTATATGTACTGTGACTAATCACTTCCCGTGACTAGATGTTAATCACTAGTCACGGTATTTACTACTTGTAGTGACTGGTTCCCATGTGACTTTACACTAACCACTAGTCACAGTATTTTACTAAAACTAATTACAACCACTAGTCACGGTATTTTACTATGACTAATTACAATATCTATAATAAGATTAGTTATGAATTTTTGCCATCTCTAATTACAAAAGCTAGTATTAAAGGCTCTTGTCACGAAGTAACAAAAAAATAATATTATTATCGACAATCGAAAGTCTCAATTCTTGTAGTATGTAATTCTATAATGTTATATCATAGTTATAACTTGTTCTCCTCAATAAGCTAACTAATTATTACTTCTCTAATATTAAAGTCAACATCAAGATTTTCTATCTAGAGTTCACGTTCAAAATTTCATCATTCTTCAAGCGAACAAAAAAAGTGCCACGGGCTCCATCTGATGCATTCTGCACTATTGTATCTGCCATGAACAATAATTAAAATTTCAGCCTTCAATGACAAGTCAGTTGAACCCAAATCCAATAGAACATGGATAAAGAAGCTGGAAACTAAAAGAGTGACTCAAAAAGTCTTACCCCAAATGCCTTGTTCGCAAGGCAAGAACTACATGGACACTTCATAGCCGGGTAATTAGCATAAAAGGTCATAAACCTATTCACTTTGTACGAAACGGTCACAAACCTTTTATTTTGCACGTTTCAGTAAGATACGTTTGAGAGAATAACAAAATGGTAATTCCGTCTATTTCCATCCAAAAAACCATCAGTTTCTTCCAATCAACATGCCACATCACTTAAAATATTAGTAAAAAATTTATTTACCAAACCCAATTGAACTGCCCAACCAAAAACCCTAATTCGATATCACCCGAAATTATGGAGACCCTGTCGTGGCCCTGAGCGATTCCGCTCCCCAGAATCGCGCCCTCATAAATCTCCCTTCGCCGATAGCTTCTCCGGGTCGCGGCGCCACCCTATACCCCTTCTTTCCCCTTCTCACGTCGGCGTTCTGACAGGCACACGTCAATCTGCAAATTAGGACTCTATATCACTATGGTCCAAAGAGAATGAGAAACAGAATGCCAATCTTTATTGAGGGGTAGGTAGATTTGGGAGGAGGTTTCTGGGGACGGAGTGACCCGCAGATCTCTACCAATCTTGTGGCAGAAGGCGACGACAGTGAATCCATTTCCAAGTTATTATAAATATTTTTTTGTGGATTCTCGTTGCTTCGATTGATTTTTGGATCTGCATGCTCTAACCAACCTTTGATGGCAGAGCGATGGTAGTGGAGGCGGGATTGGTTGAGCGTCGATAGTGGGGGAGCGGAGGTAGAGGAATTTGCAATTCATGGTTGAGGTTGTAAAACGATAAATAACATCAATGTCGAAATTCGTTGATAGAATTCAAAATCGAGCTCAATTTCAAAGGAATACATTTAACTCCTAAACTAAATGGTTGATAATTAAAGAAATCAATGAACACACTTTTCATATTTCAATTTAGATTTGACAACCATCAATTTAATTTCTGCACCCACAAGGCCACAACTCCATAGCTTAAAGTAGAAAAAGCTACAGAAAAGATGGGGTGGTGTTCGAACCCTTGACCTCCACTCTCATAGCTGGGAGAAGACAAAGAAGAGAAAAAAAGCAGCAAAAAGAACAATAGGAGAATTTGAACCCTGGACCTCCATTCTACAAAACACAGCTACTACCAATATGCTACTGATATTAAAATGTCAATTATGATAGATGTCCGGTATTACACATATGCCCAAAATTCCCGGGGGGCCATGGCCCCCCCGGCCGCTGTGCTGGCTTCGCCCCTGAAAGAGGTAGAAACACCCTTTGTGAACGATACCAAAAGCTTCCCTGCCAAGACGGCAAAAGAATTCAGAATCGAACCAAGTCGCCAGTGTCGGTTGGGTCCAGGTGAGTTGAAGATTGTCGAGTCGGTGTCGCTTTTCGGGTGGGTAAGTATGTAGTTAGGGACTTAGGGCTGTCCGGTTCAATTGGGTCATTAAATTTTTTTATTAATATTTTAAATGACGTGGCGTGCTGACTGGACGAAACTAACGATTTTTTGGATGGAGATGGACGGAATGACCATTTCGTTACTCTCTCAAATGTACGTTACTGAAACGTGCAAAATGAAAGGTTTGTGACCATTTTATACAAAGTGAATAGATTTGTGACCTTTTATTCTAATTACCCTTCATAGCCTCTAAAGCGTTGCTCCTATTGTAGTTGTTCCTACAAATTGAATCAACAAAACATGTACCAACCAAAATGCACGTGCAGATGGAGAAAAATTGGATCAAAATCCATATACATACATAAGAAATTGTTTTGACATATTTGTTGATGCTGCTACTGCTTAATACAATCCAGTAAAAAGACTCTGAAAAGAACCAAACTTGTTTTTAACTTTGATGATCACTAACCTTGTAACTTCTTTGTCTCACAATTTGGCGGAAAAATCCAGAAATATCACTTTTCTTTTTTGCAAAAATAGCACCCAAATTACACAAATTCCAAAAATAGCACCGTTAGTCAAAAACAGCACTACAAAGGGGCAGTTTACACAGAAACCGCGCATGGGAGGAACGGTTTGTGCTAGGGCGGCCGAGGAATCGCTTTGGAGCGCTTCGGTTTTTGAAACCGTCTGATCGTAGAGCGATCCAACAGTTAAACGCTTGCCAAGGTAGTGATATGCGAAAAGAATCACAAACCGCTCGCCGAGGATGCGGTTTTCAGCCTCAGAAAAAACAAACCGTCCCCTAAGGGAGCGGTTTTAGTTGGGCCAAATTTACAAAACCGCCCCTGTAGGGGGCGGTCCGAGTGCTATATAAACTCACCCCCTCCCCATTTTTTACACACCACAACTCATTCTTCCCTCTCTCTCTCTGAAATTAACTCTCTATACATCCACTCTCTATCCATCCACGATCTGCCATCAGAAAACATTTCTTTGGTTTTTCCTTCAAAACTCGTCGAATCTCTGTTCGACATATTAAAAAAATGGATGATTGGTGCCAAGACGAGGGTATTTTCCATGATGACTATCAAACGGTACGTACTCATTTTACCAACTTTTTGTTGTTGTTATAATTTTTTAAATTAATCTATTTACTAACTAATTAGGCATGTTGTTATTCTCTCATAGGTTGGAGACACCGTCGATATATACAACCAACGATATTATGTTGAGCAAGAACCGATTGATCCAAGCGTGTTGTACGACCAACCTAACCATCGTTCAAGAGATGTTTGGAACGATCACCAGGTACATACATGGACCAATCTCCTTAGTCATTTTTTAATTGGTTTATGTACTTAGTGGTTTATAAATTAAACTTGATAATTTTTATTCGTATTGATTATTTTCAATGGTTGGTCTAATACAATGCGTCATTTACTTAGAATTTTTATAAAGAGATGCATGCCTAAGGAAATGGGGTTTTAAGCGATTATTATGATCCTCCCATTTTCTGGAAAAATCAAGTTTTAAGCGATTCTCGGATCCCCCCGTTTTTTGTCAAAAAGGTTGCGTTTCTAAGATAATGTATACCTCTTCTAAGAGTCTAACGAGTGTTGCATTGTATTCTATTAAATTATTGAAATCAACCAATACGATTTACACAATAATGTCGTGGATTTATGTGTATGTTTTCAAATATTTATTTAAACTGATTGTTATGAAAGATTACTATTTGTTATAATAGATTATTGTTTATTTAAACGGTTTATTATTGTTTTCAATGTGCATTGTAATTCGATTAAATTATCATTTGTTTAAACGATTTGTGATAATATATTTATAATTGTTTATTATAGTATACTTATGAAGAAAGTTAATTTTTTCGCAAGCATGCATACCATGTAATCCGCTATAGGGGTACGACTAATGTGCTCGCATATAACGACGTCATCTTGCCCTTTCTCAAAATGGCAAGGTTGGAGTCGATTAGGCACTTCTTAGGGATAAAGATCGACCGTCAACTCATCACCGCATTGGTGGAGAGATGGCGAAAGGAAACACATTGCTTCAATTTTCGCGAAGGAGAGTGCACCATCACACTAAAGGATATCGCCATCCTAACCCATCTTCCCATCGACTGCAATGCGGCATGTGTGAACGATCATGCACCACCGGATGCTGACGGGATGACCGGTTGGCAGCATTTAATCCACAGCGTTTTGGGCCTCTGAGTGCCAGTAAAGGGAAGCGTTGATGCGGAGGATCGCAACCCACCATTGAAGAAGCACCAAGTATAAATCACTTGGTCGATTAAGGAGATCAGGAACTGACACGACCCAACAGAAGGTGGGATCCCCCTAACCTAGGAAAGTTCAGAGGCAGAGAAGGAAATATATGCTCGTGTCTAATCGGGTTGCGGGTTAGTCGAATTTCGGGTTAATCGGGTTGTGGGTAAGTCTGGTTGCGAGTTAATCGGATTACAAGTCAATCGGGTTGTGGGTCGTACGGGTTACGAGATGTTGACTTTTAGTCAATTCGGATTGCGAGTCGGGTTGATCGGACGGGCTAGTCGATCGGGTTCTGTTTTGACACCTCTAGATGTGCATGCTCTCAGTCCATACTCTGTAATAGTTTTACAGTCTAGACGCACCAAATTCTGATTAATGCTCGTTTTAGCTCCTACTCTTGTGAAATTTAACCTTTCATGTCTCAGATTTTTGGCAATGGTGAAAGTGGAATTTGCAAAGCAAAGTTCACCAATTTGTAAAGTTTGGGTACTTGAATGCAACGATTCAAGTATACATGTATTACTTGATAAAACGTGTAAGCTTAGTGACTAAAAGTGAAATAAACCCTATTCTGAACTGTTTCTAATAAAAAGCCACCGCCGTCGCTTCCACTTTTCTGGCAGGGGAAGCGCTCAAGCTGGCTCGCCGTTCGCTTCCAGGAGTCAATTCGGAGAAATCGCTGGAGGACGTCTCTGATTTCAGGCCGCTTCCTTCACACTTCACTCTGTCGCAGGCGTTTATTAGCGTTCCCTGTCGCATCCACGGCTCCGTTGCTCGCTGTCAATCTCTTAGCAATTCCCTTGTAGATGAGCACAGGTTCTTCTTTTTCTTTCTCCCTGCCTTATTCGATTCTCCATTGGTTTTCTTGGCGTGTGGTAGTATCCAATTGGACTTCCTTCCACTGTGTGTGATTTACTTAGAGCTTCAGCTCGAAAATTGGTGAAGATTTTGATTGAATTTTTGAAGGAAACACAAAAGCACGCTCTGGTTGCCCAGAAACTGAAATTGTGAATTTGTGCTCCCAGCCGATTGCAACTTCTGTCTTTAGAATGTGCATTGCCTGTGAATTCAGTTGCTCTTAGCTGCAGTAATTTTCTGATTTCTGCCTGGCTATGTCTATCAAGTGAGAACTGGAGGGAGGGAATTGAACTCGTCTCAATTTGCTCTCTATGCCAGATTAAGTTATCAGTTTTGTTGGAGTTAGTAGAATTGGATGAGATGATAAATTCTGAAAGCATACTTGTGCTGGTGTGTACTCGCTGGAGAAGAGAATTGATTAAAAATGTCAGCTTTGATCTTGCGTTGTCTTTTATCCTCCTTATGGTGAAAGTGCAGGAGCCATGATGTCCCTGGAACTCTGTTCTTTTGGTACATGAATAAGGGTTCTAGACTCATGAAAGACCTTTGCTTTGCTCCCAATCAATCCATTGTGTATTGTCGGGTTGCTTCAATTGTTTTCTGAGTAAGGAGATAGCAGTTGGTTACAGGTGGGGCGTTTGGTGGGAATAGAGGAGCGAGACCAGTCCCGCCAGAGAAGGGAGTCTTCCCTTTGGACCATTTGCACGAATGTGACCTGGTAGTCCCTTCTTTTCAATTGTCCTTACATTTGTGGCTTTGTTCGCGTAGACATTGTTTTACAATTATGAGCTTCTGATCAAGGCAAAATATTTGGATGCTCTTGTTTCTTTTCAGGAAAAGAAAGACTACCTCAACTGTCTGAAATATGGTGGTCACCTATCAGAAAAATGTAGACAGTTCTCGAAGAAGTACCTGGAATGTCGAATGGAAAAGTGAGTGATATCTCTCAACCCATCATCTGGTTACTTGCTCCTTAGAATTGTATTGTGGTCAAATAGGAGAAGATAGATCTCTTATGCATCAGTATATGCCTACGCGCTAATAAGAAGTTATGGTCAATGGTTAAATAAAAGGGAAGTTATGATCTTTCCACACTGAGGCTTGAAAACGTGGAGTCATAAAGAGTACTTTTAATTGTTAAATGTATATCACAGTAGCTATAGTTTTAGCTTAAAAACTTTACTCTCAAAATATAGTTTTCTATTTTGAAATTTTTTTTGACGTCATAAGCTTAATTAGGAGTTTTAGAAGCTCTATAAGCGCATTGAAATCCCTAAAGCTTTTTAGGACTCTTCTAAGAGCTTCCATCGGCTGGGTTTTGGAGCGGTTAAGGCGTGTCTGTGGGCCGGTTATCTGGATTTCCCGACTCAAAAACACTAAAGTGTTCATGTGGTTGGAGGTGATATTAATCATGTACCCATGAATGGTGATGGAGGTAATTTTATGGAGCATGCTGTTAGTGGTGATAATGGTGAATGAACAGATATCGACCATAGCAATGAAAATGGTGGTGTGATAGTGATAACAATGATGAGACTTTGGATGCAAATGGTTAAATTCATGAGAAGAGCTTTATGTGCTTTGATTATTTAAGTTTGTTTATTGGTTGTGATGCATGCTAGTTTGTAATTTAAACTCTTCTTCTATGTATATTAGCATCGTAAAAACTATAGTTCGACTACATTCAATAAAAAATTAGTCTCCCTTTGCTTACCGTCGCTAGTATTTTTGAAATTGGATCGTGTCATCTAGCTGTGCCTGCCCTAGGTTGTCAATCATGTTTCATGGTTTGGTAGCACATAGTAAAGTATGGCGGAAATGGAAAATTCTGATCCATTCACAACTCTGTTGCATTTGATTGCATCATCCTGTTTTAGTATCTGGCATTATCGAACACTCGGCTAATGCAGAAACGTACACCGTCTTTGATTGCTATATACACAGGAATTTAATGGCCAAGCAGGACATGTCTGAACTTGGGTTCGCAGAAAAATCTGAGATGGAGTCATCGCAAGCAAAGGGCAGCATCAAGAACGAGTGACCCCATGTCTCTTTGCCAACCTTTCTGGCACTGGATTTGATGAGATAGAAGGCTAGTCCATGAGTTTGAGACACACAGTAGACTTTCAAAAAAAATTCTGTACAATCGTTCAATTTCATGGGTAGAGAATATAGAAACAAAAGGATCCTAGAGCTATGGACATGCAAGCTCCTGTTAGATGGATACCACATTGTTTAGTAAAATTGGGGCTCGGAAATAATTTGGATTTGGTCATGTATCACTTGCTAGATGGGGAAAGACAGCAGAAGCAGAATCAATCAAACAGCTCCAAAATAAAATAAAATAAAATAAAATAAACAAAAAAAAGAAAAAAGAAAAAAAAAACTCTAATCTAAACCCAAAAGCAGGTGATAACTTTAAAGTTTTGCATGATATGAACTCCATCATCAATATGGAAGGGAAACTAGAAATTGCCATAAAAACAGCAGTGTTTCTCAAGAGAACCATGCCTGCTTTACATTAACCACTCCACAGACACGGATGAATGTGTGAGAGAGAAGGAAAGAAAGAAAGATAGAGAAAAAGGATGAAGCTCTACTACATACACCATCGTCCTCTTGGCTGGAAATCCACAAACAGTTCTTCTATTTCTCAAGACCACGGAAAAAGCAATGCTCCTATCGTCATCCCTTTATTGCCAAAGAATTTTGTAACCTCTTTTTTGAAAAGTTTTTGTGATTCAACTGAAGAAACCCACCGTCACCTCAAAAAAGAATAATAGAGGTAGGGCTCATTGTTCTGAAGGCCAGATGATAAAGGATTATATGTGTTTTAAGACACTCTTCTTGGATCACGGGCTGCTGCAAGATGGTCCTGCATAAGAATCAACAACCAGTTAACCACCACATATGATTTCACAAAATCAAAACATCATAACCAAAGAATAGAAAAGAAGCGACCATAACAAAGTCTTTAACACTAACTACTAGCTTAGCTTAGCTTAGCTCACCGAGATGAAATCAAAAGCTTTGGTGTCCTCTTTTTTCGAGCTGCTCATCGTCGAGGTAGGAATTTGATTGGGGAAGCTTGGATGAAAGATATCAGGAAGTGCTGCTCCCCCATCAGCTTGACTAGCACCACTAGTAGCATTTTGTGCAGCACTCAAATTATTGCTTAGCTGTTGGAAGTTCGACATTGTCACAAGAAGTTGCTGTTGAGCAAGAAAACCTCCCATAGCACCATAATTTATAGGTAATGAATGAGCAGAGAAAGCAGGATTCAGCATCATCCCAGGTGGCATAGCATATGGCATAGCTGCAGAAGCAAACACAGTACTTGCATTCATCGTGGTCAACTGGGGCCCGCCAAGCATGTTCCCCGGGTTTGTACCTTCAGATGGAATAGATGGAGAGATGCTACCTTGCTGCTTGACACCTTCACTAATAGACATTCCAGCCAGTAAATCATTGACATCTGCCTTGTCATGTTCTTGATTTTTTGAAACTGCACCATTGGACGACCCAAATATATCAAATATCTCAGCTCCATTTGTGGTGGGTATCTGACTTGCATCAGAAGTCGGGATGCAAGTCGGTTTACTGTCAAAGTCCATTCCAGAGAAGAGATCACCATCAGGTTGTTGTTTTGACTCTTCTGTGTGAAACGAGACATCAGCAAATGGGTCATCATCCCCATTCTTTTGCTCTGTAGAGTTCTCACTGGTGGGACCAAAACTATCTCCAAGTAAATCGTGAGTGAACGGAGTCATACTAGTGGCTGACACATTTGGTTTCACTTGATCATTTGGCCTTTCAGAAGGATCATCTGCATTGAAGAAATCATCTGACTCTCCTGTGTCGATTAAGTCAGGAAACTGGACAGGAGACACAGCTGGTACTGAAGTTTCTGAAATAGTTGGCATCCGACCAACTTTTCCATCCCCCAAAAGGCTCAATACCTGATCATAGGCAAAAATTCACAGGTTAATATATATACTCTTGAGTAATACTGCCCATGGAGCAAACCATATGGTGGGATCCAGGTTCCATGGCTATAAATTGACTTCAAATGTGCAGAGGAGAACTGCACGCGTGAAACTTAAGAGGAAGAGAAGCTTCCAACAACATACATAGCAAATAAGAAACCGTTTCAACAATTATTTCTATGTAGCTAAAAGAACAGAATTCACAGCTCCATTACATCTGAACATTACAGCGAATCTCAAAAACAAACTGCAAATGGCCAATAACCATACCCAAAATAAGTATCTCTCAGCCATCACAGGCAGAGTGCTGTGTAATTCTGAAGGGTTCTAGAACACACTATATCAGTTAATGCAGCCAAAGGTGTATGGCACACGTGTGCAGCAAGCATACCACATCCAGAAAGAACAGCATTACAAAAGTAGGTCTTGCATGTAACAAAAATTACACATACCTTTCTAGCTTTTTCACTAAGAGAACTTTGGGGAGACTGAGAACATTTCTCCACCACATCTGTGTTTTCATCGAAGTACGAAGCTATAATTGAAAACTTCTCATCATCCCGTTTCCTCAAAATCGACTCAAGCACACACACTGCTTTCATTCGAACCTGGCAACGATAAAGCAAAAGTCTTCTCAGAATATGAACTGTTAGAGCATAATAAACAGGTTACACCTTTCACAGGGGACAAAAAAATACGATCATAGTGTTCATACAAGCACATCAAATAAAAATAAATAAAAAACCAGGGGTAACAGGTACAAACTAGGCACAGGATCCAAAGAGCATGTTTTACAAATACCATAATAGACAAAGATATCAAGGGGAAGAATCCTACCTGCCAAGACGGAGATTGGAGCTTGGATTCAAGGGCTCGACTCAAAGCCAATGCATCCAGTTTAGCTGCTTCAACCAGAAAAACATGAATGGCATCTCTGGTGGGTTGTAAACGTACACCACCAGACGCTACAATGGTTTCTAGCAACCTTTCTTCCCGAGACTTGTTCTCCATATAACCGGAGCTCGAGTTCCCATTTTCTATCATAGCATTGGCTGATCTTGAATCCTGGCCCCATGATCCAGCACCAGCGCTCCTTGAAGCCCCAAAACTGCCATGATTTTCATAGCGCAACTGGACTGGTTCATATCTACTTGAACTATTATCAGGATCCACTGTCAATGACCGATGAAGATTCGGGCTTTTGTAGCTCCCAGGATCATTGTTTCTTTGATGATTTCCTTGAGCCAAGTTACTAAGTCCCTGCTTGATAGTTGCACTCCCTATGTCAACTACTTCACTAAGAAACGACTTCCTATCATCTGATGAAGATGATGATCGAATTTCGAAATTTGTATTCCCGAATCCTTCCATTCGCTTACTGATCTGTGCTGGTGCTGGTTTGCTGTTCTCCTCAGAGAAAATAGCAGAAATAGCATCCTGAGCTGTATCCCTCACACCCTTATTTAGGGCATCCCCCTTTAACGGATCCGGCTGGCCCTTGTAGTGAAGCAACTGCCGTACAGCCACTGAATGTCTCTGCATTTCCCTCCTGAAATCCGCACCAGATTTCCCCACAGAATACTTTATCAACCTGAGAGCCTGCCCACCATATCTCAACCATAAGTTTTTCACAATCAAACAAGCGGAAAAGCCTGTAACTTGCAGTGGCTACTCCCTGGAATTTGCCAGTACACTGAAGAACGGAACATATACGAAGCTGAAGAGCCGAGGAAATTACCTTCTGTTTAACAACGGGGCTCTTATGCTCGAGCCTCTTCAAGATAAAGTCGGAGACCTCCTTCACGATACTAACATGAGAAGAGCGCAAGAGATCACAAACCTCTTCCAGTTTGTAGACGGGCGTCACCTTGTCTTCGTCGGATGTAGCCCCGTCGATCATCCTTGATCTCCAGTACGACTCCACCGCTCTCCTGCTCGAATCCATGACGAAAATTTCCCCGGCTACCTTACCTCCCGATTCAACAAAAACGCCCCGCGGGAGTCAGAGATCGAAATTCCGCCGGGGTAGTTGCGAGCTGTGAAGGGGATCGAAGCTATGTAGAGCGCAAAGAGGAACGGAGAGAGAGAGAACGAGGGAAGCTTTGGGATTGGAAGAGGAAGAAGGAAGAGAAGAGAGAGGATGGAAAGGACAGATTTTGGTACCGAAATAGTTACAGAGAGGTGGTTCTGTCAGCTAACGGCGCCACCGGCGCACGTTAGCTTATTTGACAAGTGGTCACTTTTAATTCAAGTATAATATCATATATTCTGGTACTTTTTTTACTTCTAAGTTCTAACCAATGAAAGAGGGAACAATCTTGATTAACATTGTCAAGCGACAGAGCTCGTTACAGCAGCTTGGTCTGGGACCTCACCGTCCAATTCGTCAACAGCCATCTCATCTTTGAACAACAACTTAAGGTAAGGAAGGACATTGGGAAGGACAGGGAGATCAGCCAAGTTAACGCTCATCATGTCGAAAGCAATGCACGTCTTGTGCATATGAGCATCATCAAACACCGGGATCTTAGGGTACCTCTGGCTGAAGTGCGTCAGGATTATCCGATACGCTCCAGCGGAGTCCCCCACTTCGATGGCTTCCTTCGTCGTGCTGTGGTTCCTCGCTACGGCTTCCTCCATCAACCCATCTTCAAACGTTGCCTCGTGTATGAGAACTGTGGCACCACGAGATGCTTCCACGAGCTCGGGACATGGCCTGGTGTCCCCCGAGTAGACAATCTTCCATCCTGGTATCGGTTTGCCAACGCTGTTGAATCTGTCTGCAGCTTCCAAAGCGACGCCGAACGCCTGAGGGCAATGCACAACAGGGAAACTGATCAAAGACTCCAACCCTGCTTCATTCAGGACTGTCTGCAGCTTCTTCAGAAGTGGGTAATATGTGGCTTTATCGACTGGACTCCCTGATCTTGTCCAAACACTCTGCATACGGTTGTTGGATTTAGCAAACAGAGTCGACTCAGTCGAATCAGTGATCTCCTTTGATTCACCGTTGCTCTCAAAATCATCCCAAGAGCCTGTTGTTGTACTTCTACAATCGACAAACTCCATGTCCAGGTCTTCAAGTTTTTTATAAGCATCGAGAAACCTCTTGAGCTGCCTTGGTCCAACAACTATCAACGGCTCATGAGCAGTCCCCTTTAAAAGCTCTCGTCGTAGAGCAAGTATTCTGGCTAACCCAGTATGGTGATCGGCATGGATATGAGAAATCCATACACAGCTCAGTTTTCTCACAGCGTTATCAGCACCCTCCACGCCATACCTTCTCTTCAACTGCCCGAGCGTTCCTTCACCACAATCTAACAGCAGACTTCCTTTGGAGAAGAGGTTTATGTAGATGGAGCTGACATTACGGTACTTTGATGGCTGGGATGAACCCGTCCCTAGAAGGACGATCTCCAAGTCGTCTCTCCTTACATTTTGTAAGCAACTCGGTGTTGTTCTTTTCTCTTCTTCCTCTTCCAACCAGGGCTCTTCTGTCAAATTGTGAGTGTTATTGTCTCGTAATAGGTTCGAGTAAGCTCCTCGAGGTTTGTCAAAGAATTCGCTGATGTGTTTGGCTGCATCCACAATTTCTGGAATCTCTGTGATTAACTCGCTTATGGTTTCTGATGAGGTTTGATGGGTTGGGATGTTAGCCTTGTCCAATCCAAGTTGGACATGTGGACGCAGAGTGAACTGCAAGAATGTGATATACACATCGAAGTTAACTACTTTGAAAAGAAGGCGAAGAAAAGCTAATAAAATGGGAACAAGAATTAACTTCACTTAAAAGCTAGTTCCCCAAGTTATGAAAGTTTCTACCTTGAGGAGATTTTCAGCAGATATGCTTTTGTCTGCCATAAATGGATGATCCTGCAAAAGACGGGAAAGGCAAAAATAATGGTAAGAATTCTCAAGTAATTAAGAATCTAGAAGCGCAGTCCCTATTACACAAACCTCGCCTGAAGAGTGTAATGTTATGTTGTTTAGTGGCTGGAGTGACCAGAATCCCGGGGCAGGAAAGAACTGAGGGCACAAGTAATTAAGCCGTGCTGCAATTCTGGCACTGGATTTCAGAATAGGAATTTCCACATTTCGCCTGTAAATGGAGAAAAACCAGTTAAAGAGGAGCAAAAGATCAAGCACATATACTGGTTCACTCACTCCATCAGACGAAACATTGAACAAATTCCACTCACGTTTGGTGGCCAGCAATAATATGTTGTGCTGAGCTGAATTTCTCCATCCACTTATGATAATTGGGACTGCTTATCACCGAGGAAGGGCTCAAGTGCACGATACAGTTCACCATCTTATCCTCCTCAGGCGAATTACCAGAGCAATAACTATCAAGAGATGATGTTGATAACAGATCATATACATGAGCCTCTGTCGGGCAATCGATAAGGAACACAATGGGACCAGGCACACATGGACCCATGACATCACTTGGATGGACCATGATGTTGTCACGATCTGACATAACCGATTTCCCGGATTGTAGTTCGCTGTATTTTGGCCCGGGTCTCAAACCAAGAGCCTTTGCCTTTCCAGGGTCGAACTTGCCCATAATCTCAGGCAGTTCACATAGATATATAACCGACATATCATCCGGCTTTACTTCAGGTACTCCTGACGAACATCTTGGTCGGAGTAAAAGTGCTGATATTTTGACGACTTCATCCTCTACGAGCACAATAGGATCCATAGATGTGCTTGCATCCAAATGAGAAGGCGCATCGGAACCGAAACTTCTCGTGTGGACCACTGCTGCATGTGGGATGAAAGACTTCATTGCGTCTACCAAGTACTTTAGATTTGAAGGACCCCACACATTGACCTTCAGGAAGAGGATACACAAAATTATTTCAGTGTTGTGTGATCTTATAGCAATCATTTACTTACCCAAGTTTAAGCTAGGAGAGGCGAAATATAAATATCTAGGGAAAGACATTATAAAAAAAAATCTAGGAAAAGAACTTTAATATGCACAAAAGAGATTAGATACTCACTGACATTCCCTCATCTCCAATGCCAGCCAAAGTTAACAACAGTCCTGGGATTCCACCAGCTGTTTCTGAGCAGACACGGGAGAGAAATATATGATCGATCTGAAAAGTGTTTGAGCATAGAGAGTTAATTTTCCTTGTCCGGTCGAGGTAATAATAAACCAAGCAAAGAAGTCAGTAAGAATGCTGCTGAAAGTAAGATCATACATCAATTACATGCTCATTATGATATGATCTTGGGTGGCACATACCTTGGATAGCTTAATCTTATGCTCAGTACAGAACCGTTGCAACCCCTGCACATGATGTAGCCCCTGAGTTAATCTAACTTACTCGCATGTTCATAAAGATTGATTCTGCATCTATTTTTCTACTTCACATGGTGGTAAACTTACGACCTTGCAAATGTAGAAGCGTACACTGTAAACTCAAGTACAGAACCAGAAAATGATATCATTCCTTCAGCATCTGCTTCAGGACAATGAGCAGCAGAATGTGCAGTGCACAATAACTTCATCAAGAAGTCTAAAATAGCATATCCTAAGTTCAACTATATAATCTCATCTCCAAATCTCAACGATCAGTCACCACGCCATACACGTGTACCAAATAACATCAAGTTGCTCAGAAGAACTAACTAGTTTCTTATGCTCGTACCCAGTATCGATGATACAAGAACACAATTGTATCCCAAATTAATGCTGACCTCTACAACTTTCATAAATAAGCAACTGCCAGGAAAAACTAAAAACAAAAACAATTGTCTTTGTAACTGTCTTTACCTCCCCAGCATTAAATATGAATCTTTGCTTGTCAAAGAAGAGCAACACCGAAGGCGAAGTATCCTGAGTGTCCATTCCCGTTCCAAGAATCTGGAAATATAGAGAAATTCATTCAATATCAGCAACAACTAACTTGAGGTAACGACAAGAAACTCCATCTCAAAGTAGTTGAAGTGAACACATAGAAGAATTTACTCAAATGAAATTGTTTTCTATAATTGCATCCTGATCATGGTTGAACGAAGGTAGGCATGAAGGTCATCTACAAAACAGCGCAAGAAGAAGAACGCCAAACCTACGAAAGGGTTCCATCTTTATGACACTCACAAAGCTTTCGTAAGTTCATAGCTAAGAAAAGAAATCGAAAGCAAAGAGAAGCCCTGAAGTTTTATACCTGTACATAAGAGATAGTGTTGGTAGGATTGAGCTTCCGGACTTTCAACTGGAGATTCTTCCTAGGCCGATCACTTTCATCTCTACCCTCAGCCCTTTTCTTATTAAACCCTGTGAAATTACCACCACCGCGGCCGTTCTCCCCCATTGAAGCTCCTCCTCCTTCCTCCTGATTTCCTCTGCCCTCTTCACTAAACGTGCTCTTCCCTCTGCTTCTGAAACCAGAGGGCTGCTGCTGGCGGCGGTTGGATGGGGCAGAAGAGGAACGCTGCCGTCGAGATGGTGAGGAAGAAGATAGGATGGGGAGGAAAGAGCGGTGGCGAAGGTTAGAAGGAAAAGAGAAGAGGAGCGCAGCAGAAGAAGGTTTGAGAGGGGAGAAGAAGAGGAAGCGAAGACTGGCGAGGCATTGGGGCATTTGTGCTGCTTGCTTGGGTTTGTAGGCCTGCCTCCTGGGGACTGGGATTTTGCGTGGGTTTAGTTTAGGACTAAGAGAGCGAATGCGTCGGGTGACAGAAAACTAGCAGTGGCGCCAACTTCCCCAGACTCATCATCGCCTTGGCCCCCCAATCTTCTCTCTCAGCCTAGGCCTTTGACCAGTACCGGTAATTATGCTCTTACAATTTCTCCTTTGGGTTGGAGAACAGATTTGGCCATTACATTGTGTCAAGATGAGAAGGGATTTTGTTATGTTGACCACAGACAATTTTGTCAGCACTGTCCATAGGCTGAGATAGAAGGTCACATCTCACTTAAGAGTTGTTTGGATGAACCTTTTCCACAATGAGGCAATTTGATATAAAAGTCTCATTTTGGAAAAGGGTAAATGCCACATTTGGTAACTGGGTTTACTATAACGTGTCATATTTAGTCATTAGAAAAAATTAACATCAACTTTGGTCACTCGAATTATTCAAACAGTCCATATTTTGTCACTCTCCGTTAGTCTCCGTCCAACTCTGATAATGGAGTTCGTTATGTGCTGACATGGATGACGGAACTACCTAGTCAGCATCATTTTGGGCCAGAAATGGTCAAACCTGACCTGCCACGTCATATGCCCAACCCAACACATTAACCCAACCCGACTCAATCAAACCCTAACCTGACCCGGCCATGCCTCACCGTCGTTTAAGTCTCCTTTCTCCCCTCTTCATCTTCAATTTCAGAGAAGTTGACCAGCAAGGCCTTCTAATTAGGGCTCCCGGCGGAGACGATTAAAGCAGCCAGGAAGGAAGCTGAGTTAGGCGAAATCGATTGAAGCTAGAGCAAGAAAGGATCTCGTCATCAACTTGGAGATTCGCGGGGCAGATCCACCTTTGCGGCGAGAAATGATGAATCAGATTGGGACCCATAAAACTTGCAGATTCGCGAGGGTGATCCCTTCTTCCCTTCCCGCAGCAGCAGTGCAGATCCCAACTGTCCCGATGCGGCAGTAGCAGTCGAGGATCTAAGCATTTGGGATGTGGTCACTTGGAGGAGAAATTTGGGTGGCGACGTTCTGGCCATTGGCAAAGAGGATCAGGGAGGCAAAGGTAGACCAACGAAGGAGGTGGTGGCAAAGTCGAGGATTTATGTTTGTTTCAGGAGACGCCTTGATCGCGCGTGCGTGATAGAGCTTTAAATTTATAAATTGATGCACATTCTCTATTCAATCCTAACTAAGCCAAGTATAACCTAGCTAGGGTTGTAGTAAAGTGGCTCGGTCGTATTCCAATGAAACCCTAAGCTTACTATTACTTCGCTCCGAACTACTATCTAATTGAATTAAAAGGTTGGGTGTTTAAACTAATCTAATATACTCCTAAAGGTAACATAAACAACCAACCAAGTGATTGGGAGATCGCTAGATTAGACGGTTGCCTAGAGTTGAATCCTCCTAAATATGGTTGTCGTGTAGGGTTAAGAGAATGTGATGAGTGAGCTCTTTTCTGTGGGCTTTCGTGGTATCCACACGCCTCTGAGTACGCATCCCCTAAACTCATGTCAGCCACCTCGATCTAGGCTATCATATCTAGGGCTTTAAGAACATAGCTCATTTCAATGGGTACTACCTACCATCCATATCGAGGTTCCATCCCGGGTTTTATCAGGAAGACATTCCTATAGTAGGGGTACAGTCGCCTCGTCCACCATAAGATACTGTTCATTCATCTAACCCTAATTTGTTTCATGGCGCATACGCGTCTAACCTTAAAACTCCATACCCAGCGTAGAAGCTCAAGTAGTCTAGTAGAGAAGATTAGGGTGACTTACCCAAACACAATCAAAGTTAGAGAAGCATTTAAATCAAATAGATAAACACATTCATACAAAACCCATTCATATATAACCTACAAACTAGGGTTCATCTTCCCTAACACAACCATTAAAGATTCAAGTCATTAGAGAGTGAAAGAAAACACGCACTAGAAGAGGGGAGTGATGGAGTCAAACTTCTTCTCCTTGCTTGCACCTTCTCATTGCTCCTTGGGTGGATTGGATCTTCAATTAAGCTCTCCCAATGTATTTCCCTCTCTAAAAACAACCAAAACCCCTAAATTTCTCACTCTAGGGCAACTCTCCCTTGAGAAGTGCAGCAAGAGGGGGTATTTATAGAAACTGATAGCGATCAAGGGCTCCAGGGCGTGGCGCGATGGTCAAGACCGTGACCTGTCCTTGACCAGCTAGAATTTCTCCGAATGGCTCGAAATGACGCGTTTTGACTCTTAATTTGGGTCTAATTGTACACATTTTACCCCCGTTTTCCTTAGATGTATGAGACACTTTTACTCCATGAGGTTCGGTTTTACGCTAGGTTGTGCTTGTTTTTAGTATGTTTCAGATCCTAGCAGGTGAAATCAACCCATGGAACGAAAGTTGAACAAAAAGGGGTGAAAACCGGTCGAAATAGAGCAAACATAGTAGTTCAGGGTGGAAGCCAGAAGTTCACGGTCAGCCAGACCGTGAAGACAAGGCCCGAGTCACGAAGCGCGAGGAGTCCAAGAGGGTTTCGTCCGTTTCGCGGGCATTCAGCAGTTCACGGCCAGTAGACCATGATAACCAGCTCCAAACCGTGAAGAGCCTTTATGAAACAACGCGCTTTTGCAGAACATCACTGTCCAGACCAATAGTTCACGGTCGTGAATTGGGACCGTGAAAATTCGCCGATCTGGGTATAAAGGAGGGTTGAGCTGAAAGAGAAAAGGGGGAGCACCTAGTGCGAGAAACTTCTTCTTCATATTTCTAGAGTGAGAAAGTGAAGAATAAGAGAAGAGGAGAAGAGAAGTTAGGGTTTCATCCAAGATCTAAGATTTGGGATTCTCATCCTCAAAGGTTGATCTCCACACCAAAGAAAAAAGGCAACCCTCTCATGATGGTCTCTTCTCTTCTCCTTTGTGTAATCCCACTTCTTAGTATGGAGTAGTCCTTTCTTTCACTTGGGTGTTTGTAAAACCTAGCTAGAATTATGTGAATGTTTGTATGGATTGAATGATTTGTGTGTGTGGTTGTGTTTTAATACAAGTTTTGAGGTATTTTCATGAAGGTTGTGCTGTGTTTTTGCATTTTCAACTATTATGCCAATTGGACCTAGGTAGAGGGAAATCTCCTTCTTGCAAAGAGGCTTGTAAAAACTGGAAGTCCTTGGCCAAATTGTTTCACCTACTTAGGTTGATTTAGGGCAAAGCTCATAATACGTACTAGATAATTGGCCCGAGCGTTGCTTCGGGATCTTGTACAATTTTATTTTTGAGATTTTTATATGTTGTGATATTAGTTTTGTAAATGAACCTTTTATACTTATGGTCTAAATCATTGAATATAATGAACTATGCAATAATTTGATTGGATGTAATACATATGTGATATATAGGAAAATGAAGTTTGAGTTATAGAATGAATAAACCTATTTCGTATTGGTGATATTTTTTTAAATTGCAATTATAATTATACATACAATCTACAATGTTGAATTAAAAAAAGTTGCCCGTCATGTGTTTTTTTTCCCTTCCACTTCTCTGATACATTTCAAATTCGAATGTGTTGGACGAATAAACTATTATTGAAAGCTTAGTCCATAAATATGTTACACAAATGTTAAACTATGATAGTTCTTCTTAAGTAAAACTCAAAATACATATTTACATGATAATTACTCAATGAGTTTATAGTTTTCCTAACTTGACGTTTTTTTAATAGAAGACTATCTATTACCTAAATTTTAGATAGCATATGCCATTCACAACTTTTGTCTAAAAGTGAACCTATTGTTTTCTTAATCTTAATCCACAAATCCTCTTTCTGATGACATAACTCCATAAGTTCCCTTCCCTTCTCTTGCATTATTCACCAAGACCAATGACATCCCACTACACGTGGAGAAGATGAATAATTGATGGCAACAAATGTCACTTTATTAGCTCCATAACCGTTTCTCTTTTCCATTGTTGTTCTCTTTTTTTTTTTTTTTTTTTGACAAATCCATTGTTGTTCTCACTGTTGTCATTGTTCCGCTTCCTTTGATACTTTTAATCTACAATTGCAGATTGCAACTCCATTCCCATGCAGTTCTCTTTTAATCACTTCTAAGTCTCCCTACCTTCAAAAAATTAGTAGCTTACCTACCCTTGATCTCTTTTATTGAGATTGAATCCATAACTTGGACCACCCCCCACCTCCCAACTTGTACCTGATTGGCTTTCTAAATTTGGCCAGCATCAAGAGTTCTAAATGAATTGAAGAGAGAAGAGTTGCTCCTGGTATTGATCGGTTGCTCCTGGTCCCTCTCCTCTTCATCTTCATGTCGACCAACTTGTGGTGGCTTCTTCCAATTCTCTCTTCTTCTAATTACTTGCCCTCTTTTATGATAACGCAATCCCATCAGCAGGAAAACAGAGTGCCCATAGTTCGTCAATTATCCACAATGTGAATTGAAAGGCGTTGGTACCGTTTGGGGAAGGGACTATGAAGCAGCTGGAGAATTCATTATTCAACGACGACATTCAATTAATTGAACATGCAACCCATTGAACAGTTACTTACATCGATGAGATTGAGGGATCGATTGGAATCGGTGATGGCCGTGAAACTGAAACCTTGGAATTCCCCTTCTCTTCCCCTGCCTCGCTGATTCTATGATACATTCGATGATTGTTGCCAAAACTGTTGCGTCAAAGTAAAGAGGCACGGAGCGGCAGAAGGAGTGGGTAGAATGGAACGCTGACGCTTCGATTCACCGGCTCCAAGGGATCGACAAAATCCATATCGAGCCCTAGGAATCTTGCCGCTTCGTTGCGCTGGAGGTACTGCTGCGATTGTCAAACAATTGCCATTATCGAATAATCCATCTACGGAACGCCGGGGCAGAGGGGGGAGAATGGGATGCCGGCGCTTCGAGGTGGGGAGAACAGGACATCGACTCTTCAATGGGATCAATAGAGGGGCATAAGGAATGGGGTAAAGGGGATGAAAATCGGAATGAATTGCTTCTTAGATCTTGGTGTCTGGCTTTCTCTGCTTGCTTCTTCCAGATCCGAGAGAGTAGAACTCCAACCCTTCTCTGCTTACTATCACTTGATTCCACCGGGAAGCGAAACAACTTGCGTAGCCGCCAGGCAGTCTACGCGGGGAGACCAAAGTAAGAAACGGTGGGGAAAAGGGTCGCAGAAGGCTTACGGTACACCCGACCACAGCCTACTGGACCCCTTAAGTATGCTTGCGGCTTTATTATACTAATTAGCATCTTGGGTAGGTTGTATTTTGGTCGTCCAGACTACTGCTCGAGAGAGAAACCCAAGCAACCCTTAGTCGATTGACCAAGAGAGCAACCTTGGTAGCTTGATTCGAAATCCTTTGGCCTAGTGACCGAGAGTGGAGTTTGTTCACTTGTTGAACTTCCCTACTGTTTACAACCGCTTTTAACACACATTTGCATTCAATCTGATAATCATGATTACTAGCCAGGAGGAGCAACGCCAGAGTGAAGTCTTATCAATTTAGTGTTCAAAACCATTTACTTTTCCAATTGCATTAAGTTCGTAGTTTCAACCAAAACTCTATTGCTAGATAATGTTTCAAACAATTGAAGTAGGGGTACATGGACTGACCCGGGTTTGACTTTTAAAACATACTTTCCCTATATTGTACTCGGTTAAGGTTTATACTTGGGCCTTAATCGGGAATTTTACGTGATATTTGGGAGGAGTCAACTTTTTTGCGCCGTTGTCGGGGAACTTTGGTCCATTATTTTGAAAAGATTATTTGGTGTTAATCTAGCATTTGTTTTTGTTTTTGTGAACGTGAATCTTGCTTGTGTTAGACGAGTTGTGTTTCTTTGAAGGTGTGCAGGAGGGTATATGACCCGGAGCAATCCGCCACCTTTGGCGCCACTAGACGAGAATCTCAACCGCACTCTCCGACTCTTGGCTCGTGAGAGGGAGCTGGCAGAAGCAAGAAGAAGGATAGATGAGAGGGGACAACCACAAGTTGGTCCTGAAGTTGAAGAAGTTGTAGTTGAGGAAGAGTTTGAATCGGAGGAAGAGGAAGGAAGTGAAGCCAAGATGGCGGAGAATCAAAATGCTCCAGATGGTGATGATGAACCGAGGACCATGGGCTACTATATGGCTCAACGGGCGGTGGATATCCGATCGACCAATTTACATCCACTCGTGGTCGCCAACAATTTTGAGATCAAGCTCGACCTTGTCACAATGATCTAGAACAACATTCAGTTTCAAGGGCTTATGGATGAGTGCCCAAGGGAGCATATGCAGAGATTCACCGAGATTGCGGAAAGCTTGAAGATCAATGGGTATCCGATGATGCTTTGAAGTTGAGGATTTTCCCCTACTCTCTTGCGGTGAAAGCGTTCCGGTGGCTCAACAAGTTCATGGCCCGATATTGTCCACCTTCCAAGATGCCGAAGTGGCGCAAGAAAATCATTCACTTCGATCAAGAGGAGGACGAGACATTTAGATCATGGGAGAGGTACTATGACTATTTCCTCCAATGCCCACAACACGGGTTTGGATAGCGATTTTGGATCGAAACCTTCTACGACGCTCTCCTTTAATAAGACAAGATTCTCATTGACTCTCTATGCCAAGGGAACTTGATGAAAAAGACCCCACCCGAGATGACCGCTTTACTTGAAGATAAGGCGACAAAATGTTATGATTGGGGATCGATGAGACGTGGTGGAAGGGATTCCAAGAGAGGGTACACGCCACGGAGGCTTGTCCTCTACTCGCTGCCAAAATGGACCAATTGATCAATGCACTTCTTGAAGATAAGAAGGAAGAGAAGAAGTCGTTGATTGCAAGTGGTTGGTATTCGAGTGCCAACCAAGAAATTGTGGAGTGACAATTGATGAAGGAAGCGAACGTCTTCGATAAACAATTGCATTCCATCTCTTTTGCACATTCCGATAAGATGTCTTACCTGGAGGATCTAGTAACCACCTTCGCTAGTTCCAGCTCGAAGAAGTTTGAGAAATAGAAAGGTTTATGGGGGAGGCGACGAAGAAGTTCTCATCCATAAAGGCGCGGTTGCAAAGTCATCAATCAATCTTGACAACAAAGATGGGGATTATCACGCAAGCGTCCCTTTCCCGAAATCAACTTGATGAATATGAGTTGGGAGATGTGACCCTCCGCAGTGGGACAAACACCTGAGAAGTACCCATCCAGAGGAAGCCCACCAAGACGGTGGAGCGAGTCGATCCTACTATTTCCCCTGATCAACAAGGGAGTGCAAGTGCACCCGATGGGGCAAAATGGATCGGGCTGGGGCGGGTTATGTCAAACCCAAACCCATGGGTTTATCTACCAAAAAAGCCCGGGGTAAAACCCATTGGATTTGGAAAACTCAAACCCAACTCACTGGGTATCCGCAGGTTCATAGGTACCAATGGGTTCATGTACAAAGATGCAATTACACTAATTTTCACTACTATTGTCTACTACATACACACTAACTCACAAATCATTCGTACTAATTGTTCAATATTAAAGATAATTAAACATTCACAAACAATATGATTAATTGAACGTGCGAGGAATTAGGTTAGAAATTATAGTTAATTAGTTAAGGGTTCCCTTGGTCGTTGGGGTATGGACTTGGGTGCGGGTCTCCACGGGTTGGATATGGCTAGGGGTGGGCATAACCAGGACATCCCGATTTTCCGATATGCCTAACGCCCCAACCGAATTCGAACCGATCTATAATTCAGTTCAGTTCGACCGAACCGAATTATAGCTCGGCTCGGTTCGAATGCCTAGAACCGAAAAAACACAGCTGCTGAGTGCTACCCCGTTTTTGCCTGTTGTGCTGCCTCGGCGTCGACGTCGGGAGGAGACTCGGCGGCCGACAAGTGCTTGCCTGGGTGGCTGGGTCTGGGTCACTACCCACTGGGTGGGATTGCGAGAGGCGGAGAGTAGGAGACCGGTGCCTGGCGGGCGGCGGCGAGCAGCAAGGGTGAGGATCGAGTCGACTCGAGAGGAAGACGAAGCAGCCTCTCTCAGGTCGGGCCGTCGACGTCGCCGTGCTCGGGCAGTGGAGGAGGAGTCGCATTCGGCGCTGCAAGTGCGTCGGAAATTCTTGCCTTCTTTCTTTCCCTTTCGTTTTTTTTTTTTTTTGTCAAAGCTTCCTTTCCCTTCCGTTTGATTCCCTAGAAATTGCTAGGGTTGAGCCTTGAGGACTCAAGATGGAGAATCAACAATAGAATGGAGTTGGGCTATTGGGATTTGGGCGAAGGGAGTTGTTTTGTTGGGTGTGGGTGGGCTGGGCATTGGGTCAGTGAGGATTGGGCTAGGAGCAGAAAGGGTTGGGCTTGGGCACTTGGGTCTTGGGCTGGGTAGCTAATTTAAATTTTGGAAATTCGGTTGGCAGTTCGGTTTTTCAGTTCGGTTCAAACGAACCTGGCTCCCGAAATGTTGCATATTCCCCTCCGAATTTCGAACCTAATAAGATTTATTTCGGTTTCGGTCGGTTTTTGTTCGGTTCGGTTCGGTAAAACCAAACCGCATGCCCACCCCTAGATATGGCTAACTCAAACTCAGCCCAACTCGCAACAAGTATAGCGGGTTTTAACCTGAACCTGGACCGCAATCCGTCAAAGCAGGTTTTACCCGCGTTGACAGGATTGGGTCGGGTAAAGTACCCGCGAATTCGGGTTCTACTGACATCCCTGCATACCTACCCCAGTAGGGTTGGATAGTAAAAGGATAAATTTCAAGTTTGGTCACTAAAAATATTTAATTCCATTTGTGGTCACTAACTTTATACTCTCCTTTCATCAATGGTCACTCTATGTTCATTTCTGTTAACTTTTTTACGTGGCAGTCAGTCAACGCTTACAGTTGATCATTAAATGAGTCATGTGGCAATAACAAAAAGTTACTAAAAAATAAATTTTGATATTTTATAATTTCCACCTCATTATTGCAACTATTAAAAACAAAAACAAAATGATGAAGAACTCATTTGCACGCGATATCACTTCGCCGACCGCAAGATTACCCCCGACTCTTCTAAATCTCTAGTCATCACTGCTCATTCCTTCTCCTGTGAAATCACAGTGCCGCTCACTCTTTTTCCCATGAGATCTCTCCGCCGCTCACTCCTTCGCACGCAAGATCGCCACTGACTCTTCCAAATCCCTAGCCGCCACCGCTCAATCTTTCAAACTTTGCGTGCGAGATCACCAATGTTCACCAATTGCTCTTGGTGCTGGCACTGAGCTGGGGAATCAAAACAACTAGAGAAACCCATTTCGATGTGGTCAAGGAGTCTAGGATCTATACAAACTGACGAAGAGTCTAGGATCTGAATACACTCCCGGAGTATCGGACCTCCAAAGTAACTTCTAGGAATTAAAATGATCAGAGTTCACTATCACATCAGATAAACTAACGGAGAGTAACAAAGAGTGTCCAAACTTGAATTGTTAAACTAATCTTAGTGACCACGATTGGAATTAAATATTTTTAGTGACCAAACATGAAATTTTTTAATAATCCCGGTGACCAAACTTGCAATTTACTCGATAGTAAAATATCAATGAGTATAGGCAAAATTGCCCTCTCTAGTCCAAATGTCAATTCGGTCAACTTCTCTTCAGTGTTTATAAAATAAATGAGGCCAAAGACCGAACCATATTATCTTCGATATGCATGGTACGATCCAAGCATCGGTTTGGTCTAGTACGGTCCGGTACGGACCAACCTGTTGAACACCTCTGCTTACTAGGTACATTGTCGACCCACGTCCTAGGAAAGGGTAACGCCCAAAAATCATACAAGATTTACATATGGAAGATATCTGAAATAACAACGCAAATGATGGCAATGAGCTTGAATAACTACAAAAGTGGAACCTAGAAACAAAAATAAAATTGCACTCATACTCTACTAGTTATTACTTCCTTGTTCACCAACAAGTTGTTGCCCTCGAAAGCGTTACTTCCAGTATTGTTGTGTTGATCCTCCCACGAATGAGGAGAGGGTGCCTTTAGCAGCGGCCACAAGACGTTGTTACTCACTTGCTTCACTGCTTTCCTAGTCGTTGTTTTTGTGTTTTGCCTCACAAGTCCATGCAACGCCTTCAGGTAGTTGCCCGACTCATGGTCTCGTAGGATTGTGCCTTCTGAACCATATGCTGTAGGGTTACTTAGAGTTTCCAGTGGGTGAGGGAGATTCAGAAATGCCTTGAGGGCACTACCCTTGGAGTAGGACTTGGACTTGGAGTCGTTGTCGACGTCGTCAGAGAAGTTTCCTAGCTTCGAATTGTCCAAAGTATAGAAGCCACTTCCCGACGGCATTAAAGGATGTGCAGGGGATGATTCCTCTTCAGGCTGGAGGATGAACAGCTTCCCAAGAGGAGAGTACAACCTCTTTTGCATATTAAGACAAGGGTGGGACCTGAAGGTTCCGTTCAAACGCTTGAGAAGCAGCGCGACATGGTCGGGATAGTTGCAGGAGAAAGCTCTTGGGACGATGTCCCTGTGCATGACAACAGAGCAGATGTGGGATTCATCCAAACCCAAGCTGTTGAGCACTTTCTTACCTCCACAAAACACAAAAGGGGAGCCGAAAGTGACCACTGGTCTTAGGATAGATGGATTGACAACTACCTTCCTTGTCAACAGCATCAAGTGGATCATAAGCGATAGACTACCGCCTAGTGAGTGACCTGTAAACTGAAGCTTTGCACGACGATCTCCATACGTCTCCAAATGACTCATAATCTCTGGCATAAATTGGTCATATATTCCCTTAGCTGCTTCATAAATTCCTCTGTGAACCAGCACATCAGTTCCCTGAGAACACAGCGACATACCAATTCAACACTTGGCATCTGTATGAGTGTGTCCACCCTCGTATTATCTGTTGATTTTCACTGTATTGATGGATAGAAGGCATACCTCAAACTTGGCAGGTTCAAAGAAGAGGTTTGCTTGCCAAGAAGCAAAGGAGTCCGAACCTTGAATTACGAAACAACGAGTGCAAGTACTGGAATCATCACAGATGAACCATTCACAAGGAGATGACTGGAGGGACTGGAGGTTGTTTGCAGTCTCCTGTTTGTCCTTCTCCCCTGCTGCCACAACTGCCGTCATAGTTGATGCAGCAACATATGCTGCCACCTCTGGCGACGACTTTTTGTACAATGGATGAGGTTGGTTTGAATAAGAAGAGCTTTGATCTGGATGAATTTCCTTAGCCCGTGATTGAACATAAGAAGCTGCAGAAACGGCAATCTCATAAGCAACTTCTGGACGACACTTGTGTTCTTCTTGGTCCTCACTAGGCTGCTCAACGATTGGAGGTAAAACACAAGTAGAATCTCCATTATCAAGCTTTGCTTTCATTGCAGCCACCTCAGCTTTCTTTTCCAAAGATGATGTCACAAACTGGAGCCATAATGTCGTTTCAGATCATTGGCCTGCATATGTATGAAAAATTATTCTTATCAGTAATTCAACGAAATTTTTTTTAATCGTGCAATTTTATTTAGGCAGAGAAGAAACCAAGATCAGTCAAGTTTATGGATATGTTCAAGTCTAGGTACCTTAATGTCAGGTATAACATAAGCCATGTTGCACAGGAAAGCCAATTTGGAGAAGAGCTTAGTGTCGGACCAAGGAACGCGTGCCAAGAGTCTGGAGAAGGTCTCTTTGTTATAGTACCTGTCCTCTTCTTCTTCTTCTGAGCTGTTGTAATCCACCATGCAGCCAGAATTTTCATCATCGCCATCAAAACCATCACAGTCACAGCCGGTTTTGTCCACATGGTGATCAGAAGAAGAGGAAGAGTCGATGGCCATGTCATGGTCCTCTTTCTTCTGTTGTCTAATATTCCTCCTCCAATGGCTTCTGATTTCTAAGAGCCTCTCCACCCAATTCGCTCTCGTAACTCCCTCGTTGATGTGTTCGTCGTGACTTATCATTTCATTGCTCTCTTGTTCCGACCTCTGAGCTCCACTAGTACTGGCCACCTCCTCCTCATCACCATCCTCCTCTATGCTCGTCGTCGACTCTGTGTCAAACAGTAGAAGGGACTTAACTGGGCCTGGGATGAAGGAGGCATTGGCCGACATTTGGAGCAACGGGAATCCAAACGAATGGCTGCTCTTCAATTTCGGCTGCACTGATGAGCAGGCACGTGTATTGTTGCAGTTGACAGATTTGCACAATAACAGGTGATCGACAGAATGCGACCTCCGGATGTTAGCTTGTCGACTCCTCCTCAAGTCTTTGCCTGATTCCGAACGACGGAGCCCGTCGTAGTGCTCTTTCAGCAAGTGCTGCGTTGTAGAACCTGTAGCTGCGGGAGATGCCGCCACTGAAGTGCATGCCATGGCTTGCTTTCCTCCGCACACTTGTGATTTTTGGTGTTTCCTGAGATCAAATCAATACCAGGTTGGCTGCTGTTTATACCGGGGGCATATCCATGGCCAAACAAATGCTAGCTCCTGGAAATCATCGAAACATTTAAAGGGCGTGCCCACCTAACATTGATGCGTGAGAATAACCTTCCACTCGCCTAATCTTTGGAACAGGACAAGAAGCTGTAGTTGTATTCAATAACCTGTTTCTTTCTTTTTTCTTCTATTCATGGCGATTATGCAGCACTTTTAGTCCCTTGGTTCATTCCGTCCAAAGCTGATAATGATGGATTGATTTCTGATTTGCTTGTAGTGTCTCACTAAGCAAAGGAGTTTTCGTTAGCAATGCAGTTAAAAGCGCGATTCTACCTAGAAGCGGAAATTGGGTAAAATCGTAAAACGTAGAATCAAAACGTAAAAGCGTAAGTTATTGACGCACCCTCTAAAATAGCTAAAATATGTTAAGTACAACATATAGTATGTAAAATGTGAGTGTGTAGATTTTAGATAAGTGAATAACTACATGAAATTCATAATTAAAATGTAATATCTAACACATAAACTAATTTGTGTTGACTCAACAATAGAAAAAACTCATAACATCTTAATAATAAGCTCATAAACGTAGATCGTAACACGTAAACGAGCTTGAGAATCCAAATTCTCATAAGCTGTTTTGAATTTACATAATTACATACGATCAATTACCCATAAACTTTTATCGTAACCCAGGTAAGAGCCACAGGTGAAGACTAAGGGAGAAGACTGATAGAAGGTCAGCGACTGTTGACAATAACATTAGGTGTCTTTTCAACCTAATGTTAAGCCCCTATCTCAACACTAGTTGTAGAACGAGTGATGAATCATGTTTTCCTTCTTTTTATTTTTGCTGATGTCTCCAAAATTACATCATTTTGGGCCAATTAGCACATTTTTATGAGATGATAAAAATCGTATAAAAACGCTTCAGAATCGCGATTTTACCGATTTTAAGCGATTTTACCGATTTTACCCATGTTTTTACCAATTTTTGTGACTAAGCGACTTTAGATAGAAACTGAAACGCTTTGGTGGTCTGGATACGTAAAACCGTAAGTTTTTACGTTTTAATACGCGATTTTGACTACATTGGTCGTTAGTAAGAAGAAAACAACAAGTCCCAAGAAACCGCTTAAAAACAAGGAAGCAACCGAATGCTCGTCCAAGGAGTTTGGTTGGAATCCAAATTACAAGTTAGCAGCAGGGTGAGGAAGAAAAAAACTAGTTTCAAACGGACAAAAGCATCTGAAGGAATCCCACCCAATAAAATTAAGGAAGAACAAAATAGACGGCCGCGTTGTTCACCATGGGATAAAAAGGAGGGGCCGGTGACAATATTTAGTTGGTCTGGTCTGGTAGACGACAGGGTTGAACTCTGTCATGTTTTTGGTGGGAAGATCTCCATGTCGCAAGCATAGAAGTTAACAACTGCAAAAAGATGACACGAAGAAAGGCTACTAGGATGAGAAAGCGGAGCAACTTTACTTCAAAGCTAGACCCCCTAAGTTAAGGAAGTTCCTACCTTTGGTAGATTGTCGGTAGATATATGGTTTGGTAAGCCGTGGATGGAAGATCCAGCAAGAAAACGAAACCCAGAAATATCATGCTGAGGCATTTACAAGGTCCAAAAGATAATGCTATTAGGAATGTAGAAGTGCAGTCCAGTGAGACAAACCTCGCTCGAAGAGTCTAATGTCCTGTTATTTAGGTGCTGAAGTGACCAGAATCCCGGGGCTGGAAACAACTGAGGGTACAAGTATGTAAGTCTTGTGCTGCAATTCTTTGAATTTCAGAATAGGAATGTCGACATTTCGCCTGTAAAAGAACAAAAGGAAAAAAAAAACACTTAAAGGGGAGCAAAAACTCAAGTTAAAGGGGAGAAAATACTCAAACAGATACAGGTCCAATAACTTCATGAGACAAAAAATTCAACAAATTGCACTCACGTATGATGACCAGCAATAATATGTTGTGCTGAACTGAATTTCCCCACCCACTTCTGATACTTGGGGACTGTTCATCACCGAGGAAGGGCTCAAATGGACGATGCAATTTCCCGATCGACTCATCATCCTCGGATCAATTTACCGTAGAAGTAACTATCAAGAGATGCCGTTGATAACAGATCATCTACATGAGCCTCTGTCAGGCAATCAACAAGGAAGACTACTGGACCTGGAACAAGAGGACCCATTACATTGCTCAGGTGCAGAATGATGTTGTCACGATCTGACATCACTGGTTTACAAAATTGTAGTTCGCTGTGTTTGGCCCATGTCCAAAACGAGGACCTTGGTCAGCGTCTAACTTGCCCATAATCTCGGGCAGTTAGCAGCCATATCACCCGGCTTTACTTCAAGTACTCCTGACGAAAATCTCAGCCGGAGTAAGAGGGGCTGATATTTTGACGACTTCATCTTCGATGAGCACAATAGGGTCCATAGATTTGCTTCCATACCAACATTTTCCCGCATTCCCTTACCTGGCTCCAATGCCAGCCAAAGTTAGCAACAGTCCTGGAATTCCACCAGCTGTTTCTGAGCAGAAATGGGAGAGAAATTTATGATCAATCTGACAAAAATTTGAGCATAGAGAGTTATTTTCCTTGTTATCAGGATATAATTAGCCAAGCAAAGACTTCAGGGAGAGTGCGGATGACAGTAAAATTAAACATCGAATACACACTTGTTACAGTATTATCTTGGGTGGTATTGCTTTTCTATAACTGCAATCTGATCATGGTCCAACAATTGTGAAAGGAAGATACATGGTAATCACCACATATCACAGTTGCACAAGCTAATTCAAGGGACAGAACCAAGCATATTCTTCACAGTTCCACAAGCTTAATTCAAGTGACACAAGCAAGAATATGCTGTGCAATTTCAAGTGGCCACAAATAGCATGCTTCCCTTCCGCCTGCATTCTGCATAATTCAATCTCAAGATCGATATTCATGAAACACACCAAAGTTTTGACCAAAACCTATAATTACCCAAAACCATCAAGGCCCATGAAGAAAAGGTTCCATCTTCATGACAATCAGCAAAGCTTTCGTCAGTTCATATCTAAGACTAAGAGAATACAGAAAATGGCAGACTAAATCAAATGTTTATGATACCTGTACAGAAGAGATGGTTGTTAGTAGGATTGAGCTTCCGATCACTTTCATCTCTACCCTCGGCCCTTTTCTTAGTAAGCACAGCGAAGCCCTGATTACCACCACCACCACCACTGGCATTCTCCGCCATTGAAGCTCCAGGATAGGGAGGGATAAGTGGCAAATGGAATGGAGAGGAGAAGGTTTGAGAAGGGAGAAGAGGAGGCGAAGACAGGATGAGATGAGATACACGCAGTCGCCGGTACCTGAGCTGAGCTGTCGGGTCAATTGGAGCTTCGAAATCGTAAACGGGTTTGGGTGGGAAATAGAACAGATTCAAGGAATACATAACATTTAATTAACTTCATTTGTGAGGACTAGACACATAGCTGGAATAGCTCAGCTGGTTAGAGCGTGTGGCTGTTAACCACAAGGTCGGAGGTTCGAACCCTCCTTCTAGCGTATTTATTTTGTGTATTTTCCTTATTCGTTTAAAAACTAAAAAGAACAGACAAACTCTTTTGTTCCTTGCCAACTAACATTCTAAAAACGTTTTATTTTGTGTATTTTCCGTTTAAAAACTAAAAAAAAATTGGATGGCTAAACGTCGCCCTAGTTTTACTATAATCGCCCTAATTAAAAATTGAAAATTACTTAACTATCCTTTATGAAATAAATAAAAATACAAAATCAATGCAATAGGGAGAAAAATAGATTGACGAGGATGATTCCGGGCCGCATATCGGGTTAAGGTCCCGACCGCCAGGATGGAGGTGAGGCGGTGCGTTTTAGAGGCTATTGCTGCTTAGTACTTATTTGGTGGAGAATATACCGATGGGGATGATGGGGGAGCTTAAGAGATTTTGGCCAGTAAGGGTTATTCCATTAAGAAGACGGAGGGAAAGCTAATAATCTCTCTTCTTCACATGATCACCACACCATCAGAGAGAGGGTATAGGAACTGTACTTGTTAAAAGTTAATACCCAGCCAACAAAGAGGAGGAGAATATCAGGAGCGAGTTATGATTTTGAAGACTAATAAATTGAACCCAGACTTGGGGGTGGCCAGGGACGGTCAAAAAAAAGTTCCAATAATATCATTGTTAAAAAAAAAGTTCCAATAATAAAAAACTAACAGAGGCTTGTTCACGGATAGCTCCTTCTCGAAACAGATATAATTTCAAGGTCAATTAATGACTAATATTGTTGTTTCCCTTTCCTTATAGATATTTAATGTTACTCTTTGCTTCCAAGTTTCAGGGATCAGATGGCTATGACGAATGTTCATCATTATTGGATTAAAGGATTAGTGACGGTCGGAGCAGAAGTGGAGAGAGAGCGCTTTTCCTAAAGCCTCAGAGGCGAGCCGGCAATGAGGAACACTGGAGGAAGACGACGCGGATTGTGGGAAAGGTCGTGTACAGGTAATTGCGAATAAGAACGTAGTCGAAGGCTAAAATTAATTTTTATTTTTCTTAAAAATAAAGAAGGATACAGAAGTAATTTCATGTACAAAATTAGGGCGATCAAAGTAAGCATAGGGCGATGTTTAGCAAGCCCCAAAAAAAACACCCAAAAAAAAAACTATTTGGTTCCTTGGCAACAAGAAATCTAAAACACCCACACAAAAAAAAGGTAAATACAATTTAATATCCAAACCTTTCATTTTAAACAATATAATAGCCAAACCTTTTCGAAAACAATCTAATATCCAAATCGTCAACTTTTCGTTCGTCTGACCGTTAGTTGACACTTCAAAAAAGCTTTGTTTAGGGGAAATTGTCACAATACAACTTTGTTTCTTGTTTTGGCATTGCAGATGACTGAATATTTAGATATTCTATACCATCATGGTGGAGTCATGGACTTCTCGGGTTTGGAACTACGATATGTTGGTGGTTTTTCAGAGAAGATATCGATGGATATTGATGAAGTGTCGTACTTCGAACTTTTTTGAAGTGTCAACTAACGGTCAAACAGACATAAAGTTGACGATTTGGATATTAAATTATTTTCGAAAAGGTTTGGCTATTATATTGTTTAAAATAAAAGGTTTGGATATTAAATTGTATTTACCAAAAAAAAACTATTTGGTTCCTTGGCAACAAACATTCTAAAACTTGAGAAATCTAAAACTCCATAGTTAATGTCACTCCAAACAGGGGCGGAGGCGCGGAGCTACACTAAGGCTCGTGGTGAGGTCGTTGAAAGTTAAGTGCAAAATGCTCTTCTTTTGAAAATTACGTATAATCTGAAATAAATTTAGGGTAATGTCTATTTTTATCCAAATATTGTTCAAATTATTTTCTATTATCCACACCAATTAAAATGCTATTAATTAGCCAATCTTTTATAATGCATCAAAATATTAGCCATTTTTACGTTATCGTTAATAATTTTATAAATCTTTTCTTAGTTAAAATACTAAAATTTTGGAATATTGACCTTCATGTGTCTCTTTCAAGTCAGTATCACGTTGCCAAGTCAATATTACTAACAAAATTGCTAACTGAAAGTTAACATTTGGCTAATTCTTAGTATTTCGATAGGTTTGGATAATATAAAAGAATATGAAAAAGGTTTGGATAAAAAATAGACATTACCCATAAATTTATATACAAACAGGTTTATGAATTCGTGTGTAGCCAGACGGAAGGAGCTCAATATGGGTTGGGGTAAACGTGGTTTTGATACCCACCACCGTTCTGGGATGGGTTCACATCCTTAAGCCCCAATACTTAAGGAGTTCCAATTGTTGCTCCTGTCCAACGACTGTGTTCACTGGTTTGTGCGGCGATGAGGCTTCCTCGTCTGACATCTCGTGGCAGTGGCTCCGACTCTAGTCGAGCTCCGTCGTTAGTATTTCTGGTGATGACGAGGCTTTCCTTCTCCGACTCCATTCTTTGTTGCGTGCGGTTGAGGATAGGGTTCTTTCATGAAAAAAATTTACTAGGATTGCTAATACTTTTATGTCGCCCAAAAGATGCTTGTTGTCTCCTCGTTCATGTCAACCTCAACCTCATAAAAGAAGGACGAATCCTAACTAGATAATCGTTCAAAATGATGATATAAAAATGTTGCAACACCATACTCCATTGTCTTCTGTTGAACCACTCTAATGTAATTCTTGAAATACGAAGGGAGGAATCCAACATTTTCCCAACCTTTAGCAGCTAGACAAAATGTAGCATAACTAGCTCACACTCTTATCCGCGCAGCCTCGTTAAGTCTAGCAAAGTACATCTACGCCTTGTTGATTTCCCTATTTGACCTTATCAAATGCTTTATTGACTTAGTGACGTTCGTGATTGTGCTCGAACACCGACCGGTCGATGTAGTACATATTAGTTTGTTTGTCTAGTTTGAAGTTCATCTTTTCCAGGCAACCCGTTGTAGTCTCTAATCTATTCCGCCAGCGAACTTTATTAACAATTTTGCCTATGTTTTTGGGATCTCGTTCGCTCTTCTTTCAAAACCAACTTTTGTTACAAACACAATAGATATAGTGAGCTTCCTCAGTAAATTTACTTTTGGTGTTGCCTTTAGGGGCTCCTTGTTTCCTCATTTCAAACCATGATCATGGGTGTATTCTCTGTAGAACAATGGTGTCTCCATGTTCTTTCATCGTCGGGATCAATAACTTCCCGCACTGCATGGTTCGATAATTGGTTAGCCATATGTTATTACTGAAATAAACATTATTATTAATACCAACACTAACCTATATCACTAGTGAGATCCCCATCTTTGGTGGCATGCACATCTGGTGTATATCTATCCATATCATCCGCTACAACTGTTCAAATATCAATTATTAATTACATTCTAATAACAACACAACACTAAATTGCTCTTACTACCAGGTATATATCCGTTCAATTATCCATTGTATGCAAATCAAACACCGAAGTTACTTTCACAAGACATAGCTATGGACATCTCCTCTTGATTTTCATGCTCGGGTGTGCAATTGGCTTGGCCCCAGACCCATCAGTAGGTAACTCATTCAAATTTATCCATGATTAACAATGGAAAATATATTCCCTATGAATAGTAACGTGAACTAGTAGCAATATCATACATAACTCCTTACAAAATTAAGCACTAAAAACCCATGTATTTTCCATAACAAAAAAAAAATAACAAATTCGTTAATAACATGTCGTTCCAGTCAAAGATTACTAACTGTGCTACTTGATTCGGGCCCAAATGTACACATTTTACCCCTCACCTCTTGTCCGTTTTGCTTAGTAGATCACCATCCCTCGACATATTTTATGCTAGGTTGTGCTTGTTTTGTTACATTTCAGGTCCTAGTACGTGTGGGAAGGTCCGGGACGAGTTTCGGGCTTTCGGAGGTAAAAAAGAGCCAAAAAGTGGAGGTTGAGCCATGTTCATGGGTTGGAGCTTCAGTTCACAGTCTCTAAGACCGTGAATTGAAAGCCCAGATTGTGAAGTGACCAATTTACGGAACGGTTTCGGAAGTTACTAGCATCAAGTCATTTCACGATCTCTAAGACCGTGAACTGATCAACGCGGCCGTGAACTGAGGTCTAAGACTCTGAACTGGGCCCTATCAGGCATATATAAAGACAATAGCGGGGAGAGAGATAGGAGAGCTGGTTTTTGACAAGGGAATAGTTTCTTTCTCTAGGGTTTCAACCCAAAACACCAAAGGGGAGTTCTAGTGAGAGAGAGAGAGAGAGAGTGATAGACCATCATTTACACATGTTTTTACCCCCGTTCTTACACCGTTTGAGGTGTTGATTCTCGTGTTTTAGGCCGATTTCACGCTAGGTTGTGCTTGTTTGTGATATTTCAGGTCCTAGTACGTGAATGAAGGCTTAGGAGCGAGTCTGGGGTCGATTGGACGAAGAACGGACGAATGGCGAGCTTTTTGGGGAGCTGCACGGGCAGACCAGGGAGGCTGCACGGCCGTGCACGGTTGCAAGTTGACCGTGCGCCTTATGCCGAGGAGCTGCACGGGCACCCCTGAAGATCCGCACGGCCGTGCACCTGGACGTGCAAGATGGTTGAAGGCCGACTAAATGAAACGCTGCGTTTTGGAGTGCACGGCCAGACTGGTGATGTGCACGGCCGTGCACCCTGGCCGTGCAAGTCGGGAAACCCTGTTTTAGAGCCTATTCCGAGCCAGAAGTGGGAGAATCGTGTTTTGAGAGCAAAAACAGAGCCCTAGAGAGAGAAAGTGCGAAGAACACATCCTAGAAGCTGTCTTGGAGCTGGATTTCATCGAATCGAGCTTGGAGATCGTCATAGGAGTGGAAATCATCGTCCCGGAGCAGATTATCCTCATCGTTATGAGTATGACTAATCCGATTCTTGTTTTCT